GTCTTTGGTCTTGCAGAGCTGCTGGAACTGCGGTCGCAAAGCCAGCGAGACGTGCAGTGGCTGCAACATCGCCCGGTACTGCGGCTCCTTCTGCCAGCACAAGGACTGGGAGAGGCACCACCGGATCTGTGGCCAAGGCCTGCATGGCCAGAGCAAGCCCCTGGCTCTGCCCACGGGCCGGGTGGCAGCAGGTACCAAGAGCCTCGACGGCGTCCCCAGCCCGGCCCTTGAGAAGACTTCGGCGACCACCTCCCGCTCCTCCACCCCAGCGTCTGTGACAGCAATAGATACAAACGGGCTCTAGGAGGGAGGTGTTGGCTCTCTCTATTTGATTAGTTTCATGAGTTTTTTTAAGCTGAAAAGAAACCCCACAACAACTGTTATCACTTGACGCGTTTGACCCATCGCGCCATCTCCTCGGAGCGCTGACACTCTGGCTTTGCCATCTCATCCTGCCTTTTCCTTTGTGGCTCATGAACTGGGACAAGCCTTGCCCACAGCAGCTCCCTGCCCCTCTCTGGGGGGGCACCAGAGCATCGTCAGGACCTGGGGAACATTGGCACCCACTCGGGGGACCTCGACTGTGGGAGAGTGCTGGCACACACAGGAGATGCTGAACGTGTGGTGCCCAAGTAGGGAGCCCCATCCCTGTGGTGTGCTCAGGCTTCCCGAGGTGTCTGAGCTGCCTCCTTCAGCCACCTTTCTTCCATAATATCCCTCTGTTTTTTTCCTTGCTCCCAGCAGTGGTGCCTCAGGTGGCCGTGCCAGCCGGTTGTTGCTGTGAACAGACCGGAGCCGATTCCCCAGCAGGAGCATCCCATCCTCTAGTGCCGTGGCAAAAGCTGAGCCCGCTGCTTCTGCCTGCAGCTTGGCAGCTGATGGCTGCAGAGGGGGAGGAGAGGATTTGTCTGCTTTAAACCGAATGTCAATGCTGGGGAAGTACTGTGGGATGGCCTGGATTTCATCCCGTTCTGTGGTGGGACAGACGGTTTTTGTGCTTCCTGGGTGGGACCTGTGCTGAGGTAACACGTGCAGAGCAGCTCTGGTTTGGGAGCAGCTGCCCTTTCCACCTGGGGGCTGTTTGGGTGTGCAGAAAGCGTTGGGTTTTTTTCACTGCCTAGAAGCTGTTGGTTTGTGAGTTCCTGCCGTTGTTTTTGAGCCCAGGGATCCTCACGGGGTGCAAGGGGGTGATTTACAGCCTGTGCTCTCTGCACACATCGGCCAAACTGCTAAAAGACAGGCAGGACTTGGTGTCCTGTGTCACTTCTCCCCCCCCCCGGCCCTGGGAGTCTCCTGTGGTGCTGCATCGGGAGATGCCCGGGATCTGCCTCATCCAGCCTTTGGAGACCATCCCAAAAATGCAGGCTGAGAGCGAGGGGATGCTGTGATCAGCCTGGGGAGATCTGTCACTTGGAGGTTCCCTGCTGTGGAGTGGAAGGAGGGATTGGAGGGATTCAGGGCAATGATTAACGCAGACCTGCAGCAGGGCTGTCCCAGGGCACAGCAGGGCTGCTCTTGGATGCCTCACAGAGGTCAGCAGTGGTGCAGCCCGTGGGAGGGATGGGCGTGTGCCCTCTGGGAGCTGCTCCAAATTCCCACAGTCGCACAAACAGGCTCTGGAAATCCACCTATTCAGCAAAGCCGTGTTTCCGTGACTGTGTGTGTGCAATTGGTGGGCTGGAGCCCAATGAGGCGAGTAATTCCCAAATTACTTTTGATCACTTTCTCGACTGGAGGTGAATAATGGAGCTGTAATGAATCGTGACGGAGCTCGCGGCGGGGATGAACGGGAGACCCCGCTGCACCAACCCTGGCTCCTGGGGAAGGCTCTTTGGGAAGCTGCTGTTGGGGGATAGGATGGGTGATCCTGTGTCTGCAAGGTTTTGTTATGCAAAAAAGCCACCGTGGCTGGTGTTGAAGCTGGGTTGGGAGTAGCAGAGGGGAGTGTATCCCCCGTGTCCCCAGGAGTCGGTGCTGGGAGAGCCCTTTGCATGGGAGCCCAGCACAGCCACTGGGATTGAGGCAGCCCCCAGTGGGGGAGGCACTGGAGCCACCCTGACCTGCAGCAGCCCAGAGGTGTCACCCAACCTGGGGCGGGTGGAGGTGGCCAGGGAGCCCCAGGTGGCCCTCACGAGGATCCCAGAACGCAGCTCTGTCCGTGTTTGCTGTGCCCAAATCCATGGCATGGAGAAGATGCCTCAGTGGGGAGGAGCAGCACTTGGGGCTCGTGAGAGCACCAGGGCCAGGGGCTGCCCTGGCACCCCCACTGAGCCAGGGCTGAAGGGTTTTCCTGCCCTAAGGGGCACATTTGGAGCAGCCTCAGGTAAGTTATGTGCTTGTGACATCCCATCCTCACCCACAGACCCGACACTGTGGGTCAGTGGGGGCCAACTGTGCCAAGGTGGGATGGGAAGGGAGAGCAGGGCAGAGCTGGAAGGAGTTGCTTGTAAATAGATTGTCTTCCATAATTCTCATGCAATGTTGATGGCTGTGTATTAAAATTAACCCCAGTGTAAATGAATGGAATACTAACAGTCATGATTAGAATGATTGCTTCTTTTTTTTCTTTTTTTTTTTTTTTTTTTTTTTTTTTTTTTTTTTTTTTTTTAAAAAAACATGGAATGATAAATGTGAACTTGGGACATGGGAAGACATTGGGTTGAGGTTTCTGTTTGGGGTTTTTTTTGACATTTAATTCTGTAATAGAAATTTGTTACTTCATTCCTGTGCATAACTTATTTAATGTCCTGTATAAAGGAACCCAAACTGTTACAGATGTATTTAGTTTGTTCTACTCAAAAGTAGTCAATAAAAAGACTATATTCATCCTCCAGCTCCCCCTTCTCTGTGGGCAGGGGCAGAGGTGTTTTCTGCAGTGCTTAGGCTGTTGTTGGGTTTTTTTGGGAGATGCTGCTAGACCATAACCTTGGCTGGGGACCTGCAGGGACAAAAGCTGCCTCCCCTGCAGTGGTGATGCTGCTGCAGGTGCTGTGGGGAGCCCGAGCAAAGCCTGGGAGCAGAGCTGGAGTTCAGTCCCATACTCACTGATGTTGGAGTTCCTGGTTAAGTGTGTTCTTTTCTGAGCTTTTTTGAACTTACTTTTTTTTTTTGAGCACAGACCAGCCTGCAGGGTTGGTGCTGTCACAGCTGGCTGGCACTGCCAGCCCTGTGCCCCCAGCCCCCTGCACACATGTTGGCCTAATCTGAGGATTTTGCTCTCCAGGCTCCTGCAAACACTAATCCAGGGCTGAAGAAGCCCAAACCTGAGGGGCAAACCCCATGTGGGGCTGGGGAGGCAGCTCAGGAATCCCAAATCAGTGCCTGCTGCAGCTGTGCCCTTTGTGGATGCTCTGGGTACCCATCTCTAACCCACCCTGGCTGTGCCCTGTCCCTTTACCAATGGCCCGTGGCCCCACTGTGGCCCTTGTGTGTAATTCCCGTGGGGGGAAGGTGGCCCTTGGCAATGGAGCTGCTTCCCCTGCCCTGTGACCATGGTTTTGGCAGTCAGCAGTTATCAGTAACAGGGTATGTAACTGGGCACTTGGAGGATGGGTCCCCAGGGAACTGGGAGGAGCATTTGTGGTTTGGTTCCTGAGTCAGCCGTGGGACGTAGGACAGGGTTTGTTGGTGCATATCTGAGCTGCTGTTCCTCCCCTCCAATGAGGAGCTTCCCTGATCCCATTTCTGGGCATCAGCAGTGTCACCCCCGTATCTCAAACCCAGGGGTTGCCCTAGAAAGCTTCTGCTGGGGCAAAACAAGCACCCCAAACCCAGCAAGCCCCTCTGTGTTGTCACTCCATGGTACCAGGGCAGGGGCTGACACCGTGTCAGACCCGCCCAGCACAGTGTGTGTGAGGTGTCCCCAGGATGGAGCTGCACTCACTGCCCCTTCAGCCACGGATTTTACTTATTGCCTCCAGGGATTGGGGAAGAAACAGTCAAAATTAGTATTTCTGGTGGAGCAGCACCAGGGAAAAGAGGTTGAGGGGTGGTAACAACCCTGAGTGTGTTGAGGGTACAGGCACCTGTGGTGACCCATGTGGGTGTGGGGGCAGACAGGGGTGCAAGGACAGTGGTGTCCTCCATGCCAAGAGTCCCTGGGGTCCCTGCCTGCCCCATGTGCCCTTCTCCCCACACTCCACACTGTTTGTGATGATGCATTTCACCCCAGCTCAGTGAGGGATTTGCTGCTCCAGCACCAACAACAGAACCACGAGCACGACCCATGGACCAGCTGGGCTTGGGCCACTCCAGCCCTGGGCCTTTCCCCCTCATTTTGTGCCCCCCCCACCATGGTGCCCATCACCATTAACTCAGCTACAGCCTCTCTGGCAGCACTGCCTGGTGCTAATGCCTGTTCATGTGAACTCATGAAGCAACAGAGACAGAGCCACACTGGCCTCCCCAGGGACTGGGATATGCTGGGACTGGAGCCACTCTGGCCTCCCCAGGGACTGGGATATGCTGGGACTGGAGCCACTCTGGCCTCCCCAGGGACTGGGATGTGCTGGGGCTGGATCCATGCTGTCTCCCTGAGGAGCAGGGTGTGCTGGGGACGGGCACAGCTGGGGCACACAAGGTCAGTGTCAAGGCCACTGCAGTGGCTGCACAGGCTGCCAGCGTGCCAGGGCCTGATCGGGCACACCTTGCCAGAAATAGTTCATTAAATACTTTTTTCCCTATAAAACACTTATTCACAATCCATATGAGGCCACCTGGCTCCCTGGGCAGAGGTGCTGCTGGCCCAGGGTGGCTCTGGTGGGCAGGGCACAGGGATGTCACAGCTGGCCCCAGCCATGTCCCCTTGCCCATCCCAACACCCCATGGAGCCTTGGGCAGCCCTTAGAACCGGGAGGAAGAGGAGCTGGAGTGCAAGAGGGGCTGAGGGGACACAGCAACCAGACCAGTGGTCCCCCAAGGGCCAGGGTGTCACCCCCAAACACGGCTCCCCCCAGCACTCAGGGAGTGCTCCGCTCTCGCCAGGCAGCTCAGAGACTGTCTTGGGGTGGAAATAAATAAGTAAATTAACAGGAAAATAGCAGGGGTGAAACACTGGCAGGGCCAAGGGCAGGCAGCCCTGCTGGGCAGCAGGAGGGGGTGAGGGACAGGGAGAGGAGGAACATGAGGGAAGGTGAGGGCTGTGCCGAGGGCTCCGTGTCCTCCCGCATGCTGACGGTGTCCTGAGGTGTCTGCCTGGGTCAGTTGTTGTTCATGATCCACCAGGAAGCTGGGGAGAGAGGGAGAGGGGTCAGGGATGTGAGGGCAGTGTTAAACAGGAGAGGGATGTAGGGTGGCAGGGATGGGGGTCCTGGCCCTGCAGGTCCCTGGCATCTGGCCCTAAAGCACCCAGCCCCCTCCCAGGGCAGGGAGCGCAGCCATGGGATGGCCTGGAGGGGGGTGATCCCCCTTGAGCTGTGGCAGCTTCTGCAGGAGAGCACTGGGAATGCGGGCAGTGGGACTGGCAGGTCAGGAGCAGTGCTGGCAGCAGAGGGTTCGGTCCAAATTAATCCATGTTTTATGTTATTTTACACAAGACCTGAATGTGATCCCTGAAAGTAAACTGGGGCTTAATGTGGACCCCAGTTCCCACATCTGGTCACATTTCTATTGGTACCACAGGAATGTGCACATTCCCTGTGTTGGCCTCTCCCCTCTCTCAGCACTGGGCTGAGCCTGGATGCAGCCACTGGGACTGACCCAAGAGCACCAGAGCTTTGCAGAACAGGTTCAGGGCTCAGGTGAAAACCAAAACAAGGCACCAGGTGTATTTGAGGCAGGGCCCAGCTTATCTGCTACCTGGGAAGTGCCCCTGCTGCTTGGCTGTCCTGGCCGAAGAGCATCCCTGGGCAGGGGACAGACCCTGCAGCACCACCAGCTCACACAGCCAAACCTGCCGGGGACAGTGGGTCTCACCCTGGCTTGAAAAACCCGATTTAAATCACCCCAAACCAATCTTCTGCTCTGGAGGGAGTCCCTGTGCCTGTTCCTGCACTGCTCCTGCCCTCTGCAGCACACCCGGGGCACAGCGTGGCACTGGGGGACCCCTCACCTGGGAAGAGCATGGTGGTCAGCAGCTCCGGGGACTCCAGCAAGCTGATGATGGACTGCTGGAAAGTCTTGCTGCAGCTGGACTGCAAGTGGCTGTAAAACAGGGAGCAGGGTCAGAGGGGTGCAGGGGGTGCAGCCTCTGGTGCCAGGATCCCTGTCCACGCATGGGGACAGGGCTGCTGCTGCACCAGGCACACTCTTATGCTGCCAACAGCCCCGGGGGTGCACACGAGGGTGTTCTGAGCAGCAGTTCACAGTTGTGAGCAGTGCCAGCAGCAGGACAGGCTGGGCAAGGAGGGGGAGCCCCGAGAGGAAACCCCTTTGAGCCCCCCCCAGCCTCCGGCCCCAGCCCTGCCCACGGAGAGCTCCCACCTTCTCCACGAGGTCACGTCCTGCCAGAACTCGTACAGGATGAAGCAGGCCTCGTCTGTCAGCTTGCAGGCAGAGACACTGTGGGGACAGGAGCAACCCTGAGCTGGGGCTGGGTGCTGGCACAGCCACATGTGCCCCACCAGCCCGGGCACATCAGTCTCCCCACGAGGCCTCCAAAGCACAGTTTGGATGCATCCAGTTTGTGGCTGCTGGAGCACACAGTTCCAGGGGATTCCAAACCCAAATCCTGCCTCACAGCTCCTGTGTTCAGGCGGCAGAGGAGCTTTAATGCTTTTAAACTGGTCTTCACTGCTTCTCAGGAATCAGCACTGTCAGTGTTTTATTATTTCCACATATCCCCAGCACTGGCACAGCTCATCCTTCCAGCCCTTTGGAGGAGGTGTCACCATTCACATGGAGAGAAACTGAGGCACAAGGGCAGGAGCTGAGCTCACAGCACGAACCCAGAGCCTGCTACCCCCAGAGCAATGCCATTACCCCAGTGATGCTCCCCACACTCCCTCCTGCCACAGGAACAGACTGGGCCTCCAGCCTTTGGGAAGATGGGGGGCAGCAGGAGGGGGGTGAGAGCACAAGGCTTGGGGTGCAGGGCTGAGGGAACCAGGCTGCACTCGGCTGCAGCAGCAGCAATTCCAGCTGAGGATGAGCCTTTCCTCCAGCTGCTGCCAAGGGCTGCTGGAGGGGGCCAAGCTCTGGGGGGACAGCAAACAACTCCCCCAGCAGCTCTGAGGTTGCATCCCCCTGAGGGGCCACGATGGGCTTTGCAATTCCCTGGAGTGAACCAGGACTGTGGAGTCTCCCTGGGCTTGGCTCCAGCTTTCCACTCACATGGAGAGCCTGCCCGTGACACGCCACCCTGTTGTCTCCACAAATAGCTCTCATGACAAAAAAGCCCATCAATTCCATAGAAAAGAACTCCCATTCTCCCCGTCACATGTGTCACAACGAGCGTCTTCCTTTTGTTTGGACTGAAAACGTGCATTTATGCTGCTGAAACTGAAGAGCTGAAAAACGACGCTTTAAATGGGAACAGCATGAACATTCCCTGCTGAAAGCAGCTTGAAATCTCCCACGGGAGAAGGGAAGTGGCTCAGGGAGCAGCTGTGGCATCTCAGGGACAGGCTGGCAGTGATGTGTCCCTGCAGGCAGAGCCCTGGAGCAGTGCTGGGGGCAGCCTTGGCCTCACGCAGGGTCAGCTTCAGGTGCTTACAGCTGCTTCCCACACACACTGTCCATAAATCAACGCTCTGCATGAGCTCTGCCCTTGACCTTTCCATTGCTTTCGAGTCCTTCAGTGCTGGAGGAGTTCATGCACTCACTTACACGCACGTGCCATTCCTGCTGGCATAAAACCCACCCCCTCCTTCCCAGACACTGGTTCTTACTGGGAATACCTGCAGCAGGAGCTGGGACAGTACTGCAGGCAGGGACAGTACTGCAGCCATGACATACTCACCCTCTCTGCAAGGTCCAACCCCTGCGTGCTGAACCCACCCTTGCACCGACCAGCACACGAAACACTCCACAAAAACCCTTTTGTCCCCCCTAAAGGTGCCATATTAAAGCCTCCATTTCTGGGGGAGCCACCCCACAAACCACCCCACAGACCCCCCCACTTACTGCAGGCAGCTGCTGTGCCCGGCGGTGCCCTCGGTGTAGGAGCGGAACGCCTGCCGGAACTCCTCGATGCTGCTCGTGGCCACCGAGATCTGCCTCTTGGCCACCAGGATGTGCTGCCAAGGGACAGAAGGGCATCAGGGACTGGCCTGTCCCATCCTGCCCTCCCTGCTCCCACCCTGCTGCGGGACACGGCGGTGCCAAGCAAGCACAGCACCGCAGTGGGACTGGCACCACAGTGCTGGGGACAATGGTGACATGAAGTGGCTTCTTCCCACCTGGGTAGGTTACCTTTACACCGAGGACTGCACCAACAGGAGATGCTCCATCCCCTGGTAGTGGGGTCCTGCTGCAGTTCCCAGTGCCCTTCCCGCAGCAGAAAGGGCCTTGGGGATCCCTCCACCTGGGCTGTGCATGGAGCACACCTGGGGGATTTGGGCACTCACAAGCAGAGCATCACCTTCCTCTGGGCTGGCTGTGGGCACTGCCCAGGGCTTTCAGGGGCCTGAGGGAGCTGCATTTGTCCTGGGCATGATCCCACACCCAGCTCACAGCCCTGAATCCCACCCTGCTCCATCACCAGGCTGCAGACTCCTCATCAGCCCACAGGCAGAGCTCACCCAGTCTCGGGGCACAGGAGCTGTGGGAGGGGGGATCTGTGCACATTTTGGGTTACCTGCAAACAAGGAGCAGTAGGACAGGGACTTACTGCATCTTGTCCTTTGCACATGGATTCCTCCTTCAGCGGCTCCAGGCGTGGGCTCTGCATTCAACACCACGAGGAAAATCAGAGTTACTGCAACAAGGCAAACCTGGGAACCCACAGCCCAGCTCAGGGGACAGGGGATGTTCCTGGGGTACTTGGGGGAGGACAGGCGTATGACCTGTGGGGTTGGTGGGTCCTGACTGACTTGTCAGATCAGCAGGACCATGGGAGGGTCAGCAGAGCTGAGAGAAGGGTGGCTCTGGAGACTGCAAGTCTGGGTCTGGTGAGTGGGTGGAGCTCTGTGATGATGCCAGGACCGAATATGGGGGGTGCTGGCACAGGGAGAGGTCCCAGCACCGACCTGGCCGTGCCAAGGTGTGGGGCAGCCCCCAGCAGCTCTCCTTGGCCACACACCTTGCATTCCAGCTTCTCGATGAGCTGCTGGAGCCTGTTGATCTGAGCCATCCACTGGCTGTTGTCCTCGACACAAACACCTGCACGGCAAAGGGCACGGAGATGTCACCAAAAAAACCCTCAATTTTGTCATTGCAAAAGCTTGCTCAACTCCCAGAAAACCACAGATCTTCTAAAAACTTCTGATTTAAACCAAAAACCTGATATTTCTGCTGAAACTTCTCCTACTGCCCAAGGGATACAACACCCCACAGAAGCTGGCATCTTGGTGAGATGCTCCAGGCTCCATCCCAGAGCTGCCCAGTGATGCTGTAGATGTGGTACTTGGGGACATGGTTTAATGGTGGCCTTGGCAGCGCTGGGATAATGGTTGGACTCGATCATAGAGGTCTTTTCCAACCTTATTGATTCTGTGCTGATCCCACACCCATTCCAGGTTCCAGGGGGGCACAGACCAACCCCAGGGACACCAGGGGCACCAGGGACACCAGGCTGCAGGTACCTGTTGTCAGCATCCCAGAATAGGGGTCTGTTGGAGACAGACAGATGTTTTTCTGTCCTCTGCGCCCACACCGTCTCCCCGACCTCAGGCCAACTGAAATCTCAGGGTTTTTTATGTCCTTTCTGGAAGGAAAAAATGCAGAACAAGGGGCTGAAGTCATTCCCAGAGGGATCAGCTTCACGGCAGGCTTGGAAAGAGCAGATCCTGCTCTGGGATGTCCCTCCCGGGGAGACCCTGCCCCATCCTGCACTCACACGAGCGGGGCTGGGAAGGACCAGCGCGTCCCACCCCATTACCTCTCCCGTCCCGCCTGCTCCTCCACGGTGTCCACAGCACACTCCAGGGATGCCTGCAGGGACTGCAGTTGGTGCATGGTTTCCCGCAGCAGGAATCGGGTCAGGAACTGCTCTATCTTCGAGGAGGTCTCATACCTCTGTGGGGAAGAGGAGAGGATCTGTCAGGTACCTCTGACTCCATGCGGGGGGAGCAGAGCCACACCTGGAAGGGGTTGGCCCTTAAATAAACTCAAAGAGGTGGATGTCAATCAAATGTTTAGTTATTTCAGAAAAAAAGTGACACTATAGGGCAGAAGAACCCTCTGGGCAACTGCCTGTGAGATCACAACAGGGAACGCAGGCATGGTTCCATCTGCACTCCAGCCAAAGGACCCTCAGTCCCGGCCCCAGCAGTCTCAGCCCTGGCCCCAGCACTCTCAGCTCCGGGAGCTGTGGAGGAGAGCAGATGGACACAAGCCACAAGGTAAAGGGACTGTCCCCAGCTTCAGGGAGGGTTCCAGGGCTGGCAGAACATCCCTCGTGCTCACTCGTTCACACACGGCTCTGCTCGCACCAGGGCTCTTGGGACAAGGTTGGGACCCCACGGCAATCCCCCAGGTACAGGAAGCCCCTTCCAGGGATCCCTCACCACTGGCAGGCCAGGATAGGGGCTGGCTTCATGCCCTCTCTCCCTGGGAAGACACCGCCAAGCCCCTCTGCTCCCACGGGAGGTTCTGTGATGAATGTCTGACACGTGCTGGTGTTCAGGGTCACCCCACAGACCTTCCCCATGTCACTCGTTGAGTACAAGTGAGTGACAGTTCCTGTGAGCCCCAGCCCACCTGCCCCCTGGCACTGGAGGGGTGTCCAGGAGGAATATGGGTCTGTGTGCCCATTCCCCACCACTGTCCTTCTGGATCAGAGCTGCGGAGTGAGCACCAGGGGAGAATCGCCTCCTTTGACCTCCTGGGCACACTCCTTTGGATACAGCCTTGGATTCGGTCCAACCACTCGAATCTCCTGTCCAGTTTTCCCTTGCTTCCTTAAAACCACCTGAAATTCTGTCCTTGCACTGCCAGAAAATCTCCAGGCCCGCAGGGAGGGAGACAAGGTACCCAAGGAGGGATACTCAGCGAGACATGGAGTGAGGAGACAGGAGGAAAGGCTGAGACACATACCCAGACACTTCTAGAGCAGGCACTGCTGTCCTGCAGTGGGGCTGAGCTGCTCTCCCTTGTAGAGCAGGTACTTGGGCCTGGTTTGGCTTCACGAGACCCCTCTTGTCCCGCTGCAGGCTCTTCCTCCCTCCCCGGCATCCCTCCGGAGTGCCAGCCATGCTGAAGCCTGCAGTCATCATCGACAGCGGCAGCAGCTTCACCCGGGGTGGCTTTGCGGGGCAGAGGCAGCCCCAGTTTGTTCTAAGGACTGTGCTGCTGCACCCCTGCAGTGCAGGCCCCAGGAGGGACAGCCAGCAGCATCCCACTGCCACGGGAAGCATGGAAGGCCTCGCGGCAGCACCCAGGTCCTGCCCGCTCCAGCACGGCATCGTTGAGGACTGGGATGGCATGAAAAGCCTGTGGGGCCACCTCTTCTCCTGCAGCCTCAGAGTTCCGCCAGAGGAACACCCGGTGCTCCTGGCTGAGTCCCCGTCCTGCCCTGCCACCGACAGGGTAAAGGCAGCCGAGGTGCTTTTCGAGAGCTTCGGGGTGCCAGCCCTGCACATGGCCAACACCGGGTTCCTGTCCCTCTGCGCCCACGGCAGAGTCACCGGGCTGGCCGTGGAGGCCGGGGCGGGAGTGTCCCACGTCACCACCGTCTGCCTGGGCCAGACCCTGAGGAAGGGCACCCAGCGCCTGGGGGTGGCCGGGGAGCTCCTCTCCAGCCACCTGCACCAGCTGCTGCTGGAGAGCCCCAACCAGCCCGCGGCGCTGCACGCCCTGACCAGGAAGACGCTGTCCCAGCTGAAAAAGCAGTGCTGCTACGTCTCCCTGGACTATGAAAGGGACCTCCAGGACCAAGGTTGCCATCATCCAGCCCGATTCCAGACGCCAGATGGGCACTGGATAACCCTGGGCAAGGAGCGGTTCTGCTGCCCGGAGCCGCTCTTCCAGCCCAAGCTGCTCCAGCACGGCTGCCCCGGGCTGCACCAGCTGGCCTGGCAGAGCCTCCAGACGGTGCCCAACCACGCCAGGAGGGACGTGCTGGGCAACATCGTGCTCTCAGGTGGCTCCTCCATGTTTCCTGGCTTCCCAGAGAGGATGTGCTTAGGGTTGAACCTCCTTTCCCAAGGCACGGGCGTCCAGATCGATGTCCTGGCGAGCCCGGAGAGGGGCACGGCGGCCTGGCTGGGGGGCTCCATGGCAGCGTCTCTCACGTCCTTCCAGCGTGCATGGATGACAAAGGGCGAGTACCAGGAGCATGGAGCTGAGTATGTGCACACCAAATTCCAGTAGATAGATGGCAGCCATCCCACCTTCAAGCTACAGGAGGAGGGACTCCAAAATACCACCTTGCTCCAGGCAGAGCTGAGGCAGCAGTGACCGAGGGCAGCTCCCGCGCTGCTACAGGGGTGCAAAGTCAATTAAAGCGCTCCAAAAGGAACAAACTGCTTCTCATTGACACTCTGGGTTATTTCCGTGCCCATCCATGGCAGCAAAGCTGTCCTTTCCTAATGGAAGTGGAGCTGCCAGCACAGGGAACAAGGCTGCTCCAGCTGTCAGCACAGCAGGACCCCTGAGGTCTGTGGGGAGCCAAGGAGGGGAAGGTCCACATGGTGCCTGCACTGCAGCCACTTTACTACAGCAGGCAATTCCAGATCCCAGCACTGAAGCAGCTCAGGGCTGGGTATGGAGATGAGCTGAAAACCAGGGAACTGAACTCGCTCCTTGTAATTTTGGCATAAAGGTCATTTGGTGCTTCAGGGAGCCGATTCAGCTCCCTGAACAGGCATTTCCTCACCTGGCTTTGCTGCTGCTTCAGTGAACTGACTCAGCTCAGCAGATGATTAGAAAAGGATTGGAAGTTGCAGGGGGGAGCAGCTGGGGAACACAGCCCAGCTGTCACAGCAACTCCCTTCCCTACAGCCAGACCCATTCCAGCTCCTCAAGGGACACGGGCGGGACTGCAGTGGGAAGGAGTCTCCACAGGATGCAGGAGGGCTGGTTGCTCCACAGAAGCATCCACCAGGAGAGGTCAACCCCTCTCCTTGACAAGACAAGGAGACAGACCAGCATCCCCTCTTCCTTCCCTGTGGTGTCCTCACGTGACCCCAAGGCACAGCCCCAGAGCCAGGCTGCCTTCACCCCCCCGAGCTCCATGAGCCATGTCCAAAAGAATGTCCAGCAATGCCACCACATTACTCAGGTCAAATATTTCCGATTCCTACTGTGTTTCTCTCCAACACACTGAGGATCTGGAATTCCAGAAGCTCTGTACAGAAGCATGTGGACATAACCCTTCCATTGCTGGTGCCAAAGGAGGGGAGGAGTGGGGAAGGCCTTGAGCCCCTCGTGGTTTTCTGGTTGTTCTGTGCCACAGCCAAGCCACCAGCCTGGTCCAGGAGCTGCATCCAACTGGGCACAGCTGTGGCTGGCTGGGATGGGAAGGTAAGTGGAGAAAGTGGAGAGGATACTCATCCTCTGAGCACTGCCCTGGGCTCGTGCTGGAGGTGGCAAAGGAAGGCCCCAGCCACCCCCCAGCACCACGGTAGGCAGAGCAGCCAGGGGGGTTTTCATCCCTGGTGGAAAATGAATCCCATTTTCCTGCCAGAGGAAGAGGATGGCAGTGGAGCCGACACGATGCAGCCATGGGAAGCTGAGCTCCAGCTCTGCATCTCCGGGCTCTCCCCAGCCAAGCATCCCACCTGATCCCACAAGACTTCCTTCCCCACAGCCCCAGCAATGGAGAGCACAGGGCTGGGGACCCCTGCCCAGCCCTTCCCCTCCCCACTCCCAAGGGGGGCAGGAACCAAAATCCCTGACAGCACCACTTATCTGTGCTTGCCCAGCTCCTGCCAGCCCAGACACACATTCCCTGCTTATGAGGGAACAACCAACACTCCAATCTCCCCAGGACACACCTGAGAAAGCAGGTGAAGAGGAGCACAGAGGATCCATTATTCACCCCCCACATGGCCTGGCACAGTCTGTGTCACTCCAGGAGCATCCAAATCCAAATACTGTCACCTCCCTGGCAGCACAGAGGGCACTTCCACCAGCAAGCAGCCTCCACAGCCTCCACAGGTGAATGAGGTGTGTTCTCACCTCCAAGGTGTCCTTCCCAGCACCCCCCCAGCCTTGGCGTATGGATCTTCACCTTACATGGGGTTTGGATGCTTCTCCCCCAGCACATCACACCCCTTCCAAGGGCCAGGTGCAGGGAGAAGCACCAAGCAAACCTTCCAGCACCCTCCATGCTCTCAGCTTTCACCCTGAGGGGGCCCAAGCCTCGTGTCCTTCCTAGATGATGTGGGTGGATGGAGTTTTACAGCAGGAGCAGGCGCTGCTCCCACTGACATCACAGCTGTGGGGGGCACCTCGAGCCTGCCCCAAGCCCCACAGCTCCCCCAGTGCAGTCCTTGCACCCCAAACACACAGGCACAGGCATCAGCCTGAGGTGCCACCCCCCAAAACCCAACTGCCAGCCTGGGGCACACTGTGCTTGGAGGGGACTTGGCCCTGGAGGGTCCCACGTGGACACGTCAGCACCACACAGGATGAGCAGCTGCCTCCTGTCTCTCGCCCTGTCACACACAGCACACCCAGGGGAACGTGCTGGAGGGAAGGATGGAAATAACCAGCCCTCCAGAGAGCCCCAAATGCTGCTTCACCCAAATTCAGCTTGAAAACTGTCATGCCAGGCGAGGGAATCAACTGAAAAACACACCTTTGCTTCAGGCCAGCTGCCCAGCCCTCCTTGCACTCCTCATCTGGGGGCAAACAAGCAAAATCCTCTCATCAGGAGCTGCCCCACGTGGGTCAAACCCTCTGTAAACAGAGGTTCAATGAAAATGTGCTCTGGCTCACAGTGTTTTCTGCCCACAGGGAAGCCCCATGGATAGGAGTCACAGAGGAAATAACCCAGCAAGCAGGAGACATGGAATTCTGGTCATGGGCTGGTATTTCAGCTCTCTTTACCCAGATGAAAATCCCCAGGTTGCCAGGAGCTGCTATAATGCTGCTTTTGAGAGGTTTTATTAGTTTCTTACGATGATAGTTAAGCTCAGGACAGAATGGAACAGGTGGTCACGTTCCTGCCAAAGGAGAAATAATAGCACCTGGCTTGGAGAGGTATTTATGGGCTGGTTTGCAGTGTTTGCAGACTGGAGAATGGAAAGATTTTAGCATACAGGCCCCCTGGGAGAAACATCAGGCTGTTTCCCAAGGCATTTCCACAGTTCACTTCCTACTCTGCTGCTATTCTATTGCAAACGTGAGGTTCAGCCACAAAACAAGGTGTCATTAGCACACTGCAGCACAGCCATCAAGTTATACTTTACAAATATAAGTGGGAATTACAGGATTTGGAGAAAAACCCTCTTTTCTTTACCATGCTTCTACCAGCCCAGTGAGGGAGGATGGAAGCTTGGGGACCCCTAATGATTTGGTTTCCTCCTGCCAACCTGCAGGCACATAAAAGTGGCCAAGAGCAGCTTTACTGCCCACACACACACAGAGTCCTGCAGTCCCACAGCGAGGACAAACCCAGCTTGCATTTCTCCTGCTTTATCCCAGCATTTATCCTGCAGCTGACAAGGGGCATGGCAGCAGATCCAGGAGCCTGCCAGCCAGGGGACAGCTGTGGAGACATGACATTGGTCCATGCCAGGAATCCTGGCCCACAGAGGTGGGAATCCTCCACACCAAAAGGGCTTTTGGCACCACAGCTCCCAAATCCAGAGAATACTGCAGAATACTCCCTCCAAGCTTTGCTTTCCTTGTTTCCTTCCTTGCTGCAGCTCATGGCCCTGGCATGGCCCGAGCAAGGCCAGCACATCCCCCAGGCTCTGTTTCTTGTGCCAATGAGACATCTCAGGATCTCTGAGACTTTTCCTGGTTGTAAAGTAGGGTTTTATTGACATGAGCCTGTTTACAGCTGTGGGGAAGTACCTGGAGGATGCAGGGGTGAGAAATCTTGTGGCAGCAGCAGTAAGAAACTGGAGATGGATAATGCCCTGAGCAAGAGATGCTGTGACTCAGCTGGGGAGACCCAGCACGAGTCAGAAATCCCCTTCCCCTTCTTCCAGCCAGTCTGGACATCACTGCCTGCTCAGGAGTCATGTGAAGTCCTCTTAAATACAGCCTGGGAAGAACATCTGCTGCCTGCACAGCCCTGATCTGGAGGCAGAGCTCTGTGGGGAGGGTTTTTGGAGCAGGCAGGTCTCTTCCAGTCTCCTCAGAGCACTATGGCTGCAGCTCCAGCACAAGCAGCTCCCTGGGAAGGATTCACCTGGCTCTTCCATGGGGTGGTCTCTCTGCCCAAGTGAGGCTCTCAGACCTCAACCCGGGATATCACAGCAGTGAATCAACAGGAACAAGGGGCAGGTGTAACAGGGGAAGTCTCTGTTCTCTGTCCCCACCCCTGGCTCACAGAGAGGGGAGTTCTGCCCAAAATCCAGCTGAATAAAGCCACTCATCCCATAGTAACTCAAGCTCGAGTCCAGTTCTGGAAATACAAATCTGGGAATATATTCAGGTCACAGCAGGTAAGAAGGCAGCATTTATCATCTCTGGCAGCCTCTAGAATGGCAGGTGTCCCACAGCTCTGCAAGAGCTCTGCCCACAGGGTCAGAGCATCGTCCCTTCCTTCCTTCTCCCCAAACCAGAGCCCAGCAGACCAGGAGAGAGCAGGGAGATGATTCCCAGGAGAGTCAGTGTCTGCATCAGGGCACTCAGGAGCTCAGAGCACCTGATCAGCACAGATCTCACCTGGGTGAGAGCAGTGCTGTGAACACTGGGTTGCCCCAGCTCTGGGCAGATCCAAATGGGTGGAAAAGTGAGTCCATAAAAATCTGTTCCAACAGGGAGAACCTGCTTCTCCTTTCCAGGGAACACCAGTGGCACCAGAAACTATGAAGTGAATGAATGCATCACACCAATACTGTGAAGCAGACAGTGACTGTGCTGTCCTTTGGAGAAACACATGAATATACACATTCATTACACACAGAAAACCAGAACAGAGAAGAATTGAAATAAAGCTTAGCTCTCTGGAGAGGATTCCTTCTCTCCCTCTGGACTTGCAGTTAATAACTCTGAAGGGGGCAGGCAGCTGAACCAAAGAGAAAATGCATTTTCCAGTGATTCCCTCTCCTGGCATGAAATTTCCCAAGGTACAGGGAGACACTGCCGAGTCTGGGTCTGGGCAGAGGAAAACTCAGAGAGAAGGACTGACACTACAGAGGCACAAACATCACTGTGATGACTGTGGGACAGATCCCCCTTTGCCTCTCTGGCAGATCAACACGTCAGTGGATGATGCCCCTCATTCCCTCCCAACCAAGCATCAACCCACTGCACTGAAGGGAAGGAAAGGGCTGGCCCTTCCCCAGGAGGTAACACAGCATCAGCCCCAAGCACATTTAATACATTTCAGGGGCAAAGGGGGCTGCTGGTCACCGAGAAGGGTCCTTCCAGCAATGGCCACTGCTTTTCCCAGCTGTCTTTAGCTGGGCACCACAGCCCTCTGACACACGGGCGGGGGGCTCAGAGCAGGAGGCTGCTTGCCCTAATTAGCAGCCTCCAATCTGCTTCCCATCAGCACAAGCTGCAGGGAGAGGGAGAGCATTCCCAGCAGGGATGAACTCTGCATCAGGCTGGGAGTCAATGAATTGCAGCCTTTCCTAGCTGTCCCTGTAGCCTGGCTGTTCCCAGACAGTGCTGCTGCTGCCCCTGCCCCTCTCCAGTGCCGGGGTTTGTGGCTGTGAGCGCAGGCTGTGCCGAGCAAGGGCTGCTGGGGTCCCTCCAGAGCAGTCCCCATTTTTCAGCACACTGCTTTGTGGAAAACACCTTGTTTTGGCTCAGAACTCGACACAGATTATCAGCGATGCCCCCACAAACAGTGGCCGCAGGCAGGACCCTGCAAGGAGCTGCTGGAACAGCCACTACCAGAGCCCCATGAGGAGGAAGATAATGTCTCCAGAGCACAAAAGCACTAGATTTACCCTTACTCTCCTCAGTCTTGGCTCCCCCTCCTCCAGGCTGTGCAGCTGCAGCACTCACCAAGCACGCACAGGCACCCCCTGGATTTGGGAGGCACCACATTTGCTGCCTCCAAACCCCACATTTAACACTAAGCAAGCAGCTAAGATCACCACAGCTTCTGTTTCACCCTGCTGCCCTCCCATGGCCCCCTCCTTACCAGCTTGGTTTTGTCCATGGCAGCCAGCACAGCAGCATTGAGGGTTTCAAGGGCAGACAGCACATTCCTGTATTCTCCGAGATATCCCGAGAAATAATCTGAAGCAGGAGAGAAGACCATGGTGAGGTACCTGAGCACCTCCATCTCTGCCTGCCCTGCCCTTTCTTCCCACACACAGCCCAGTGCTGCAGGGGGACATTCCCCCCTCTCTCCAGTCATGCTCCCACTTGCACTGAGATGAAGATTCCTTCCCCATCCCCTTGGGAAAAGCACAGACACCCTCAGAGCTGGGCTTCAGGCACAGGGACTGGCAATGCCACCTGACTCCCCTGTCCTGCCCAGGTCAGACACACACAAATCCCACCACAGACCTTCAGGAGAGGGAGCCCTCCAGGGCAGGAATACCCCTTGACTTACCACACAACTTCTCTGTGTCCACGTTACTGCAAAAACAGAAAAACAGGCTCTTGTCAGATAACAGGGCTGGTCTGGGAGAAACAGGTATGATGAGCAGGGTCTTGAGGGCTTGTCTTGAGTCCCAGGGGATTTACTGCTCATTCCATGTATTTTCAGAAGGTACATTAGAAAAATAAAAGCTGCACAAGTTCAGAGCCAGCAGCTCAGAGCACCCAGGCAGGGTTTCGGGGGCTTAAAGAGCAAGCAAAGCTGCTCCAGCATCTCCTGGAGCTGGAGTGTGGTGGGAAAGTGTCTGTGACAGCAGGATGGGGCCAGGATGGAGGCTCCCCACACCACTAGGCTGGCAACCCCACTTCTGAGCCCAGCAGCTGCTTCTTCAACCCAACCTCTTCCCCCAAAAGTGGGAAGCACCAAGCCAGGGCTCTCTCCTTGTGTCTCCCTTGACCCCGCCCAGGTCCTCCCCCATGGCTGCCCCCTGGTACCAGACCCCCTCCCCTTCCCTGCCTTCAGAGCCCAGGTGATGTGGAGCTGCCTGCAGGCTCCCAGGGCAGGGGATGGATGGTTTCACAGCCCGTGAGGAGGGTTCTTCCTGCCATGAAGGCCAGTAAAGCAGGGATCTGAGTCTAAAAACCTGGAAGCAGGGACCAGACCCTCACCCCTTTTCACTAACAGAGGGCACTGCACTGCAGAATCCACGCTGGCACCCTGCAGGGCTTGGGCATGTCCCTCCTGTGGATGATAAAGGTGCTGCTGGGGTGGAGAGGGAGGAGGAGACACCCAGAAACAGCCACAGGTTTTTGGGAAGGGATGTCAAGCAGAACCAAGGGTTTGCATGATGCTGTCAGATCTGCTCAGGTCTGCAAAGCCACAGAGACAGAGCTGCTCACATATCTGGCATCACCCAGAGCCTGCAGGGACATGTCCCAGGGTGTCAATTATTCAAATCAGCCTCTGCTCAAGGCATTGTGCTGCCTCAAAATCCCCTAAACGATTACAACCGTTTTTAATCCTGATTGGGAAAGTGGGAAAGAGCACAAAAGAGAGGGGTTTAAGTGTTTTCAAAGTGTTTTTCAATCGTTTAAGTGCTGTCCCACGTGGAGGAACTGGTGATACCTGGAGTTTGCTGGGCTCCAAGCACAAGGACAGTTGCAGTGCTGCTGACCAGGGGATGTGAAACCAAGGCCACATCATCCTGTCCCCCCTCTGACACTGCTCACAGGGCAAAATGAGAGGAGAGTGTGTGAAATGTCCAAAATGCCATGTGAACAGGTGAAATGATTCAAGCAAAATCTTCCTATAGCTTCTCCTCCGGGTATCCAAGGCTGGTTTCTGTCTCCCTGTTTCTTCTGGGGGTCCACTTAGTGTCCTTTAATAACAGGCAGTCCTTCAAAGCATGAAAATATTTTGGTGTGACCCATGGCAGAGGCAGGGCAGTGGGACTGCAGCCCCCTCTGCTCAGGTAACTGCATTAGGTGCCTCTGTAGCAGCAGAGAGGGGCAGTGTGAGGCTGTGATTTGGCTCAGCTATTTTAAACATACAGGAGCTGATTTAGGCAGGGCACTGACCTGGCACTGCAGGCAGCTTTTTAAAGTGGATTAAAAAAACAGTGTTTCCCTCGAGACACAATCCAGACAAATCTGCAAAACCGCAGCCCCTTCTTCTGCCCACTGCACTCCATTAAAACTTTGCTGATCCCATCCCAGCTCTGCCAGACAGAGTGACTGAGGTTTGAAGCACCAATTTACATTGGAGAAACGTTTTTTTTGCTCCTTCTTAATTTTTCCACTCGCTCCTGAAAGCTGCCTGGAGCCTGCAGAGCTGCTGCAGTGCTGCAGGAGCCTTGGCACAGCAGCACCCACGGCACAGCCTGTCAGACCTGTGCCCCAGGGCAGTGACTGCAGCCACCCATGCCAGAGATGGGGAAAAAAAAATCACTGCAGAGGGGATGTACGGAGATGGGATAACAAAATAGCCAGTGAAACACCTCATGCACACATTACCCAGGCATTTGCATCTGTCCCCAGTGAGGACCTGGGGCTGGGAATGGTTCCACCAGGAAGAAGGAGCCACCAGCTCAAACCACTGCCCAGTTCCCACCACGGCTCCAGCGAGGTGTGACAAAGAGCTGCAACCAACACCCACCTCGTGGCTTCTAAGGAGAGGCCAGGGGTTATTAATAACTCTTTTTATCTTCTCTGTTTGCTGCTTAAAAATAAGCACTGGCTAATCAATCACTAAAGCACTGAACAGCTGAACACTGAACCAGTCGATGAGATCTTGTGGCAAAAATCAGCCCCCTGGGAGTTGTCCAGGGGAAGATCTGCTCCCTTCCCTTCCTGAGGCAGCCTGCTCCAGCATCAACCCTGCATGGGAATCTCTTCCCACGTTCTGCATCCTGCAGCAGCCCCCAGGGCACAGCCAGGGGCAAGACAGAGCACAGCAAGCAAAGCACAGGACTGGTGGTGCCATTTTCGTGCTACCAGAGCTAATTCACCCCAGAAATCAGGAGGAGCTCATGGGAAGACCCTGAACATCAAACCCTGCAAGGCTGCAGGGGGCAGCAGGTTTTTCCTGCTCCTCTCTGCCATCCCCACTCCCACTCCAAGAGAAGAGCCATCCTCTGCCTCCAAAGCACTCATCCTGAGACTCTCCACATCTCCCATAACTGTATTTTGACTGTGCTCAAACCACTGATTAACTGTAATTAAGCTTGAACTGATGATGAAGGATCTTGTCATCATTATGCTGTTGGGATTTTGTCAAAATGTGCCTGGAATTTATGCAAGAAAACAGCAATCAGCTGCTGAAAAGCAGACAGGATTTTGCTTTATTTTCATCGTTTATCATGTTGGGAACCCCCTCTGCCATCACAGATCAGGTTTCCAAACCTTTTCAGTGCAACACAGAGGGTTTCAGTCACTCTCCATCACTCAGAGACTGGCAGATGCTGCAGCTCTGAGTAAAGAGAGGGGAGGGATGTTCATTTAAATCCCTTTTTTTTTCCACAGTACCACAGGCTTGAGGTTATTTCCACTTTAAGAGCCACCAGGTCAGCACTGCCACCTCTTTCACTTCTGGCTCAAGATCAGAGGCTCTGGGTTGCCTGCACCCAATTCCTGAACACCCTCATGGAAAGAAGGATTTTCCAGACCTTATTTTTCCAAATTTCCCCAACAGATGCAGGACAGGAAGACATGTAAGGTCCACACAGCACTTCCCTTGGCAGGTTTCACTGTGCCCTGCAAAGAGCAGCAACCTCTGCAGCACCACAGCCTTCAGCCCAAAGCCCTTTGTAACCAACTCCCCATTGAGTTGTCCCGATGAGACCCTGGGATCTGCTTCCTCCCACCCAGCTGGGCTGCAGAGAGCAAACCACACCTCTCCAGATGCTTCTGCAGCTATGGAGCTCTCTCAGCCCTCCAAAAACATTAGTCCCTTCTCACCCAGACGTTTCAGTGGATGAAAATGCAGCTGTCCAGGAAGATGAATCCTCCTGTGCCACTGCCAGGGCTGGTGTGGAGCTTCCCAACGAGCCCCAGGTGTTGCACCAAACTGCCACCAAGAGCTGAACTTGGTTTCCACATAAACCCTTGAATGTCACAGAATTAAAGCAGGGAGATATTTTAAGCCCAAATGCGACAATTTTCAGAAATGCAGAACAAAAAAAGCCTCATGTGGGAAGGTAAAATCTGAAGTGAACCCTACAGAGGTGCCTGATTCAGAGATCACAGTGTCCCACCTCAGCACCAGGTGGGTGGGAAGTGGAGGAGGGGAGAACATGGTGCTGTGGGCTCTCTGGAAAGAGAACAAGTAAATGTGGAAGACCTCTGAACTCTCTCCTCTTCCCAGATGTCACCTCTGGGGCCCAGAGCAGCTGCAGGTTCACAGAGATGGGTGAGGAGGTCAGGACAGCTCTGGGCAGTGCCAGACATGGAAAAGGCCTGGATATAAAGGTCTCTGTTACTGTCTGTCCTCAGGTCAGGCTGACACGGACAAGGAAACACAAATTTCAGCCTAGACCTGACAAACATAACACCAAATCCACCAGCTGGATGAAGGGTGAGACCTTCCCATTGCCACAAAAGCTACAGGACACAAAAGAAGCACGCCAGGTATGTCTGTAGAGCTTGTAGCTGCTTTTCAGCTTTCTAATACTTTATTACCTCAGGTAATAACCCTTGAATCTGGCAGAAAATTTCAACCAGCTCTCTAAAATACTAAGTTTTGCAAGTGCAAGCCAAGCCCAGAGGAGAGGGGCTGTCCAGCCCCCCACCACAGGGACAGCAGGGCACCAGCACAGCCTTTCCATGACACCAGAGGCTGCAGAGAGGAGCAAGTGCCCCCACACATCCCAAAAACGGTGTCTCCTACATTGGCTTGAAGCCACCAAGTGCAGGAATTTGGAAACAGCTCTGTCTGAGGGTCCCTTCTGCTCTTTACAACAGGAAGAGAACAAAGACCCGAGGCTCATGCCCCACTAATAGATGTCACCAGCTCGATGCTGCAACTGCCACGTTGCCATGGTTACGGCACCATCCTCACGGTGAGGAGCTATCAGGAGCACCACTGCAGCCATGGCCCTGCTCAGCTGCTCCAGACACGTGGGATAAGCCCAGTCTGAAAGCAGTGGGAAGCCAGGAGGTCTCCCCTGTTCAGATCAGGGCTCGGTGAAGTCTCCTGGCTTCGCTGCACCCCGTGTTTTCCAGCAGTACTGGACGGGATGGCTCCAAGGTCACCCCAACGTGCAGCAAGAGGAAAGGAGTATTCCCAGAGGAGAGGGAACAGCTTACTGCTAACTTCCTGGGATCACAGCCCAAACAGAGCTATTTTCAGGAGACATGTCCTGCTGCCCACATCCACAAGCCCAACCAGCAGGACAGGCAGCAATGGGCAGCCAGGCTCCAAAGAAAGCAGCACCAAAGCCACCCACACCAGCCCACTTCTCTGCCCCATCACCAAAGTGGGAGCATCAGATAAACCCACCACTTGAACACCATCAGGAGTCCATCATCCCCACTGCCCCAGTCCCAGGGGGGTGATGTGGGGACCTCTGGGTATCCTCTGTCAGTGGCTTGGTGGAATTCAGTGTGACAAGGGCCTTCCGTGCCACTGCCCTGGCTCCCTGCAAAGCCCTGGGACCAGTGTGTGCAGCTCAGGCTGCTCAAGTTTTCTCTCCCTGATGGAGATACTGCCCTGGTCAAGGGTGTCAGAGGTGCAGGAGGTGCTTCCCGGGGAGCTGGGGAAGTGGCACCAGCCAGAGCCAAAGACCAGGAGGAAGCTGCAGCCCCTTCTCCCCCAGCAGCACCCCAGTGTTTGAACAGACCCCACACATGCAATTCATGAACACCCAGTTTCTCCCAGTGCCAGAACACACTCACCCACAGCAGACAGCCGGGCAGAGGGATCCCAGTGAGGCCACACTGGTGTCCAAAACACTGGGCTGAGAAACCTTGCCCAGCCCAACAGACTGCTCTGGACAGCACCAGTCAAGAGCAGACCAGGGCTAAGCACAGTTCCTTCTCCTGTTCGTTGGGGGTTTCTTTTTTTAAAAGCAGCTGGCCTAAATTCCCAGTTCCATGCACCAGGCCCACTTGTGTTGGAAAGCAGCTCTTATGTAAGTGAAAAGCAGTTCCCTGTGTCAGCAGTGGCAAACTCTGCACAGTCTGTGCCTTGTCCTCACACCACCACACGCTCCTGCAGACACACAACCTGCTCCACGAGCTGGGTATTTCTGGAATACATTTTTCAAACTACAGTAATGTCATCTTAGATGGTTGCTTTGCTTTATGGAACTACAGTAAATCTGCTGACTGTTCTCAAAATGTCTGACCCCCCTCTTCACCAATGGTGTTCAATGGGTTTTAACATCTGCGTGTTGCAAGAAGTGGGTTGATCTCACCCTGACTATTTATCACACCCGCCCCCAAACGTCCTCCATCTGCACTCAAGCAGGTTTATATTCTCCTTCGTCTCCTCGGTGCCACCGCGGGACTTACTCTGAGTGACGCCTGTCAATGCCACTGAACAACTCCCACAGCTCCTCCGAGCTCAGGATCCCATCAGCGAAATAGTTCTTGAACTCCTCGAATGACAGCTTCCCGTCATCTGCATTTAAATAAAAGGGGGAGAGTAATTATGTATCCGCACAAAGCAGCATCCAGGCCCCAAGGTCCTCCCAGCAGCCGCTCCACCGGGAATGTGGGACAGCTGGGAGTGTTGTGCATGATAATTAGAGCAGATATCTCACTGAAAGCATGTCCCACCATCCCAGCCAAAGCCCAGGAGTGTTGGCAAGCAGGGACACTGCTGCTGGAATTTCAGGTGGGGATTTCAGCACCTTCCCAAAGAGCCCACTGCAGTGGTTTCAGAAATGCATGCAGGCACTCTGTTAGATGACTGTGCAAGGAGAGAGTCCATTACAAACAGCACGGGTTTTTATGGTAAGAAAATCTCTCCATTGACTCTAGAGCTTTTCCCTTCCTCTCTGTGGAGGACTTCAGCTCCTGGGCTGCATTTTGATCTCCAACAAAAGCGGTTCCTGGAGCTACCACAAAGGAAAAGAGCTCAAGAGAGCTCTGAGAAACGACTTGCGATTTTGGACCTCTTGGTTTATTGGTGCTGCATTAAAAACTGGGTAACAGAGCCTAACGCCCAAATGCCAGAGGCTCCAGGGTTACCCAGACACAGAGTCACCTGTAAAACCCTGGACTGAGCACAGAGGTTGAATCAATCCCACAAGGGATGGAGCAGAAGCCTGATGGCCCCTGGGCCTGGGCTGCTTTCCCATCCCTTGTCGCTGTCAGCAGCACAGAGGAGAAATCATGAGCACACAGGCAGGAGAAGGGCTTGGAAAGGGCTCTGTCCTGTGTGGTGCATGGATGGTGAACTGGCAGAGCCCACTCCCCTGCCCCTGGCCAGGGCCCTTGGCTCCAGGCAAAGCAGAAAAGCATTTTCCTTGCAGCCAGAGCGCTGCTTGCCCTTATCCTCCCTCACTCTTTCAGCCAAACCTCTCAGTGGGAACGAGCCACACTGCTTCACCCAGAGCCAGGCAGGGAGGGGGAGGCAGCAGCAGGAACAAAGCACTCACCGTTCTTGTCGGCTCGCCGGAAAATCTGCAAGAGAAAATACAACAGAGCTCAGTGTGGCAGTGGGGAGAGAAGGGCAGATGAGCTGGGCAGCACTCAGCACCATGGAAAACCACCTCCTGGAGCCCAGGGGGCCATGGAGAAGCCCCTGCTGCCAGGACTGCACAGGCTGCTCCGGGAAATTGCCCTTTGCCAGTGATTAAACCCATTTCTTGCCTCTAATGCACAGAGCCCTCGGCGCAGCTGCGGCGACCGAGCGAGCCCGGCGCTCCCAGCGAGCGTCTCTCAGAGAACACGGAGGGAGGCGAAGCAGAGAGGGCTTTGCTACACCCTTGTGATGGCAGATGTTTAATTTTTCAGAGCCTTTAAATGAAAGAACATTAAGTATAAAACCACTCCGTACGGAAGCACTTAGGGCATCACCAACACCCCGACCGCCTGCACCGAGGAGCAGCTCCTGCCCTGCGCTTCCAAACCACCCCTCACAACAGCCCTGCCTGCAACATCTCCATGTGCACACATGCTGTAATTAATTATTAATGAGTCAATTAATCTGTAACTAATTCTGACACAGAGCACAGTTGGAGACCTCAATTCAGGGTCTCAATGCGGGTTCCCAACCACGAGGCTTCTGCCCAGGATGCAGGAGAGAGCTGGGGTTGCTCATCCCTGCCAGGATCTGTTTCACCAATAATTATTGAAGGTCTGGGGCTGGCTCCAGTGAGGAATGGCATCATTTCCAAAGCCTTGGAACATCTTCTCAGACCAAACATTATGAGGTTTTGGCCAGCACAGCCCAATGGAGCCAATGACTGAAAGTTGTGTGTGTGGCAACTCTTTCCTTTATATCATCCTGGGTGATGTAGAAATCCACAGGTCTGAAGAAAGATCAGGAATGAAAAAGGGCAGGAAAAGGAGAAAGAGGACTTCTATATTCTTGTCCACACATCCCCACAGAGCAGCAGGCAGAGGCATCACTGCCCCAGGCTCTTTCCTTCTGCGCTGCTCACCAACAGCTCTGATGTGTGTTCTGAGATCCAGCCACCAAAATCTCCCTGGAAAACTGCTCTGAGGTAAAGAGAGAGCTGCCCAGGAAAACCTGCACTGCTCATTCCTAAGCCACTGGCTTGTGACTGGGAAGAGGCTTTTCTGCTGCTGGTCCCAGCAGGGAGCTCCCTGGTCCTTCCCTGCATGAAACCAGGAGCAGGGACACCTCCTGCAGGAGCAGGGACCCCTCCTTGGAGGATGCTCTTCTGAACAAAGTGAGCTCCTCTCGACCCGAGCTGCTGCAGGAAACAGAGGCTGCCTTGGACTGACCATCCCTCTGGGATTCCATCCCACCATTCCTGCCTTCCCTTGCAGGAGAGCAGGGCAGGCGCTCCCTGAGCACCCCACAGAACTCGCTGGATGCACTTTGGAGCTGAGATGGGAACCTGCAGCTTCCAAACAGAAGAGATTTCTCTGGATTTTAAAGAAAAATTTTCTCCAGGCTAACGGGCTCCTTGTGGGGTCTCCCAGCTGCAGGGTCACACATTCCAGGGCTCCCTGGCTGCAGGGGCAGCACCGGTGGGTCCCATATGTCCTGCCCTGGGAATGACACTTTCCATCAAGGGAAAAGCTTCATTCTGCAGGGCTCTGTGTCATCAGGGAGACACATGGCTCATGCATTGACATCTCATGGCTCCAGATGTCACCGAGGCCAGTTAGCTCATCCCAGAGACAGTCAAGTGTCACCCAGGCACTTAACAAATGCAGACTCAGGTGAGGGCAAACATTCCTGGCCTTGCTCAGAGGGATCTGTGTGCAGACTATGAGGGAGAACATGGTTCTGGGGGGGAATCTATGGAGATGAGAAGGTCTCTAATCCAGGATGAGCCCATCCTGGATTTAGCAGGAGCCTCAGCAGACGGAGTGGATGCTTCTCCCTCACACTCAGGTGAGTGATGTGTTACACAAGCACTGCCAGTGCATGTATGGCATCAGCTGCTTGAAGTGATTTTAATATGGCACAAAGCAGGGAGCTGTGAGAGCCCCACAAGGCAAGGCCACACCTGCTCCATGGCCCCCAGGAATGGCAGGGCTCCTCACTATCACCAGTGAGCCCATCCCTGGCCGACCCAGGCGCAGAGGTGCCTCCGCGAGCGCTGCTCATGTTGGAAAACGCCAATGGATCCTGTGCATGACACAGGATCCAACTCTAGCCAAGCACAAACGGTGCAGAGACACTTCCACACTCCGCAGGGTAAATCCTGCCCCCTCCCTGGGCACAGGCATGAGCTCAGCAATGGCAGGTAAGCGCTGCTTCCCCTGTGGGCAGCAGCCCTGGAACAAAGCCAGGGAAGAGTGATGCAAAGCCAGGCTGGGAATGGGATCAGGTCTGTGTTGACTGCTGAAGAGGCCCTACAGGCAATCCCTCACTTGCCTCAGGGAGGACTGGCAGCCTGGACTGACACTGCCTGGAGCCCACAATGTTCCCTTGGCCCCCAGCTCCTGCGCTTGGGTCCGAGCAGCCACAGCCCTCCTCGGTGCCTGATGGAAGAACTGAAATGGCATTTATGTGGGAGATGAACCCCCTACACACCTCAGGAAGGAGGGACATTATAGGACTTCTCCCTGCCTGCAGGGCTGGGAGCAACGGTGGCTGCTGGACAGGCAGGCAGGGACACAGTGACTGCTGGGGAGGGGACAGTCCCTGGTGACACCGTGTGCAGGCTAAGGCAGCTGCACCAGGCACTGCCGGTGAACGGCGTCCTTCCTGAGCCTCCCGTATCCCGGGAGAGCAGTGAGGAGCCCCGGGCACCAGCCTGGGGGACAGACCTCCCCAAGGCTTGAGATGCTGCACAGGGGAACAGCAGCGATGGCAGCTCTGCAGTTTATACCGTGCCTGCGGCGAGGAGTCTCGGGCAAAGTCCTCTTCCTCCTCCTCCTCCTCCTCCTCCTCCTCCTCCTCCTCCTCCTCCTTCTCCTCCTCCTCCTCCTCACCTCTCCCAAAGGCAGGCCATCTGCAGGCAGGTCCCAGGGGAAGCAGCAGCTGCCACCTGGAATCCGTGGTGGGCAGTCCTGCCGGGGAAGGCAGGCTGGGCATCCTTCCTTGTTGATGCTCACCCCAACAAGCCTGGGGGGCAGCTGGACACCAGCCAACCGCCCAGAGCCAAAAGTGGAGATATTAAACTCGCCCTGCCAAGCTCTGGAGCTGAGGTGGGAGCAAAGAAAGCCACGGGGATGAGGAAGAGAAGCCGTCAGAACAGGAAAGCAGCTGCTAGAGTTGTTAACATTTCCCATTTTAATTGCCTTGATGACACCCTGAGGGATAGATGTGGGACTGAGCGAGTGCCCCGAGGAGCTGAGCTGGAACACAGCTGTCATCACCCACCCCCTCCAGCCCATCTTCCCTCAGCCAAGTAATTAGCGTGGTAATGATGCTGTGGTAATGATGCTGGCTGGAGAGCCTTCCAGCCCGAAATCCCCCCAGGCAGGAGAGAGGCCCTGACTCCCAGCTGGAAGCTTCAAGCACCACCCTCACAGAGGGAGCTGTGCTTCCCAGTGGTGCCAGGGAGATGCCAGGAGGTCTTGGACCAGACCAGGCATGGCACTCATATTCCTAAAGTGCTGCCTGAGATCTATCGTTCCCCTCCTCTGGGATGAACTGAGACATGGGGGTGAGGCTGGATTGGGACAACATGGAGATGACAGCTGGGGAATGACAGCTGGGGAATGACAGCTGGGGGATGACAGCTGGCATTGACCTGGGCTGTGCAGGTGCTGGGGCACCACCAACCCTCATCCTTAACCCCTGCTGGCTTTCTTCTCCTCGGTCCTGCAGCTAGGCAGGGGCAGCACCTCCACTCACACGTCTCCTTGGCTCCACGGGGTTGGATTTAGACCGCAGTGGTGTCGGACACATGGGAACAGCAAGGGCTAGTGGCCCATCGGGGAGATTTGGGCACTGTCCCCCCGACCCAGGTCACAGCAGACAGGCAGGGGCAGGAGGGCTGAGCACCTCGGATGTGCTCCAGAGGTGGGCTCTCACCCTGGGAGATGGCCAGGGATGCAGCCTTGGCCCCAGGGCACCCGGCTCCCCCTCCCAGGAGCACACCGGGCTGGAGGGGAGGCGGTGTGACGGGAGGCACTGTACCAGCACCTCTGGACACGCAGACAGCCACTCTCTGCGTCTTAACTCCCCCCGGCCACTCACAGCTGCTGGGATGCCCGGCCGACCCCCAACCTGCACGGAGCATCCTCCTCCACACCTCCCGGCGCGTCGGGAGCGGGCAGGGACGGGAGCTGCGCCCGGGGGCTGCAGCAGGCAGCGCTCTGCCTGTTGGATCCCACGGCTGCGAGCAGCTCCACGGAACCTTCCTGCCAGACACGCGCAGCTCCGCTCCGGGAGTCACGACAGCCAGCTCTGGATGAGGCGTGGGCTGTTTCCAGCCACCCGGAGGCCCATAATTCATCAGAAGGACACGACACCATTATTTAAGCCATCACGACTCCACACCTCGATGCGCAGCTCCAGGCTGGAGCATCCTTCGGGCTGGTTCCTCCGGGAAGGGGCGGGAAAGAGTCTCCCCCTGACACCCACCCCCGAGGGGAGGCACGGCGGCCCGGGGGGCGCGGGGGGGTGGCGGGGAGCCGGCCCGCGGTACTCACGTCGTGGAAGATGGGGAGCGGCTGGCGGAGGGGCGCGGGGCCGCGCTCGGCGGAGAGCAGGCACACGGCCAGCAGCTCAGCACAGGACATCATGGTCCCGCCGGGCGCGGGCGCTGCGGGCTCCGGGCACGGTGCGGTACCGGAGGGCACGGCACGGCGCGGTACCGTGAGGTGCGGTGCGGTACCGTAGGGACGGGGGCGGTGCGCTGCCAAGGGGCACCGTAGGGCACGGTGCGCTGCCGTAGGGAGCGGTGCGGTGCGATGCGGTCCCTTAGGGCACGGTGCGGGGCGGTACCGTAGGGATGGGTGCGGTGCGGAGCGGTACCGTGGGGCACGGCGCGCTGCCGTAGGGAGCGGTGCGGTGCCGTAGGGCGCGGTACCGTAGGGATGGATACGGTGAGGTGCCGTAGGGACGGACGCGGTGCGGTGCCCTAGGGGCGGATGCAGTGCGGTACCGGAGGGCTGGACGTGGTACGGTGCTGGAGGGATGGATGCGGTACCAAAGGGATGGACGCGATGCGGTGCCGGAGGAACGGATGCAGTGCCGGAGGGATGGATGGATGCGGTGCCGGAGGGATGGACACGATGTGGTACCGAGGGGACGGACGCGGTGTGGTGCCGGAGAGATGGATGCGGTGCAGTAGCGGAGAGATGGATGCGGTGCGGTAGCGGAGAGATGGATGCGGTGCGGTAGCGGAGAGATGGATGCGGTGCGGTAGCGGAGGGATGGATGCGGTGCGGTAGCGGAGAGATGGATGCGGTGCGGTAGCGGAGGGATGGATGCGGTGCGGTAGCGGAGAGATGGATGCGGTGCGGTAGCGGAGGGATGGATGCGGTGCGGTAGCGGAGGGATGGATGCGGTACCGAAGGGACGGTTCGGTGCGGTGCCGGAGGGACGGACGCGGTGCGCTGGTCGCGCCCCGCAGATCCCGACTCAGTCGAGCGGCTCCGCCGCCGCCAGGCAACTTTGGCTCCGCTGCGGGCCCGCCCCCGCCGCCACCCGATTGGCCACGGGCCGTGATTGGCATCCAGGGCCACCACTGCGGGTGGCGGAGGGGCGGGGCTGGGTCCCGGTGCCCGGGGCTGCCGCAGGGGGATCCCAGTTGGACCCAGCGGTGCCTCCGGTTGACTCCAGTAAAGCCCACCGTGGTCCCACCCGTGGGCTGTGTGACCATCCCCGAGTGCCCCAGTTGGTCCCAGTTTGACCACAGGTTATCCCAGTGCTGGCCCCAGGATAGCCCTGGTTGTCCCAGTGCTGGGCCAGTTGGTCCCAGAGTGGCCACGGGTAGTCCCAGTGTGGTCACTGTTGGCCCCACTGTAGCCCTGGGTGCCCCAGCTGGCCCTGGGGATATTCTAGTTTGGCCATGAGGGGTCCTGGTGTGGTCACTGTTGGCTCCAGGATTAAGCCATGGACACCCCAACATAGCCCCAGTTGGTCCCATTTTGGCCATGGGAGGTCCCAGTGTGGTTGCTGGTGGCCTCAGGGCAGCCCTGGCTTGCCCAGTTGTGCCCAGTTTGGTATGGGTTGTCTCACTGTAGTCACTGTTGGCCCTGGGGCAGCCATGGTTGCTCCAGTTGGTCGTAGTTTGGCCAAAAGTGGTCTCAGTGTGGTTGCTTTTGACCCCAGGGTAGCCCTGGTTGCCCCAGTTGGCCCTGGAGCTGCCCTGGTTTGACCATGGGTGGTCACAGTGTGGCCATGGTTGGCCCTAGCATATCTCTGTTTGTCCCAGTTTGGCCACTGGTGGTCCCAGTTTGGCCACATGTTGTCCCAGTGTGGACACTGTTGGTCCTGGGAAAGCCCTGGTTTCCCCAGCTGGCCCTGACTTGGCCTCAGTTTGACCACGGGTGGTCCCACTGTGGTTGTAGTGGCCCTGGGGTGGTCCCTTGACAAGCAGGGTGGCTCCAAATGCCTCCCTTCAATGCCCACGGTGCCAGGCAGCCTTTGCTCCCCACTGCTTCCCTCCAGTGTGGCATATACTGATTGTGGAGGAGGAGGAGGAAGCAGGAGCTGCCTCCATCCCTGCCTGACACCCGGAGGTCTGTGCATGCAGAGAGGAATAAGACAGACATCCATATCCATATCCCAGACTGTCCTCAGGGGGTTTCCCAAATAAGAAACAGATAATTAGATAAATAAACCAGATAAAGCCATGGCCGGGCAGAGCTTCACATGCTCCCGGGGTACACAATGTGCAGGGATTTCTTGGGGCTGCTCCCTCTCCCTCTTGGAGCATTCCAGGATTTTACTTACAGAGAGAGGGACATGAACTGGTTTTGTTCGGATGGAAAATCCCAGGGAAGCTTTGCCTCCATGAGCACCACCTCTGCTTCCACATGGAGCTCCCAGCAACATCCTGTTTGCTGAGCTCAGCTCCGCTTAACCCAGATCTCAAATCCAAGATGCTTCCCCATCCCAACACAGCTGAGCTGCGGCACATGGAGTTTGCTCATCTCCTCCTCCCTCGGGCATAAGAGGCTCCAAGCTGAGCCTGGAGCAGCTGCAGGATGCATCGCAGCTATTTTTACCATCTCCCAGCTGTTCCAGGTGTGTGCAAGGGAAAAGAGGTGGAAAAAGCACACCTGGGTCCTGATGGGGGGGTGTCCAAGGGCTCTGGAGGGCACGTGCACTTACCCACACAGCACAGGGCTCTCCCCACCCCAGGGAGGCAGAAAGAGGTCCAAGGACTGGAGCTTTTGAGTGTGGTCATCAAATCCAACCAAAAAAGCAAAAGGAAAAAAACACAGGCAGGAGACACAGCAGGAACAGGGATCACCTCACCAGGGAGTGTGGGAAGGCTTGTGTGATGGTGGGGCTCTGTCACGGATCAAAGCAAAGCCTGAGAGGGCCTTCCCACACTCCTGTTTGCTAAAATCTGTTCTCTGTCCCCATCGGGATGCCTCAGGGTCAGCATGAGTTAATGTGTGGGAAGGAGCAGCTGGGTAGTGAGGGAAAGCAAAGCTCAGGGCAAAATTGCCAGTGGCAGGAGGGAGCTGATGCCCCCAGCTCCTTCCACAGGTGCTTCCAGAGCACCCCGAAAGCCACAGCTGGGAATGGTGACGTGGCTCCAGCTGAGGGGGACATCAGGGCTCTGCTCTTCTCTCCAGGACCACAATGGGCTGGAATTAAGGGAAGCACCCACTCACCAGAATTCCAGAAATAAACAATGCTGCGTTTGGCCTCCTCAAGTTCCTTCCTCACGGAAGAAACACGGGAGATGTTTGAGAGTGGAAATATGGAAGTTTGGGGCAGGATGCAGAGGTGGGGCAGGCAGCATCAGCACTGGCAGGGGCAAGACATCCCTGCCTAGAGAGACCCCAAAACCTGCCCGGACCCTCTGGGGGGGATTAGGTTAAAGGTACAAACCCCTTGTGGGGGGCACCTAATTCTGCCCCCCAGCCACTGCCAGACTGTCACAGAGCTCATCCCACTGAGGGGCTCTCCTGACTCCCCCAAGTCCAAACCTCACAGTACAGGGGCAGGAGACTCCATGGCTGCCTGGGATCAGCACCACAGCCACATCCTGCACAGCATTTGCCAGTGCCAATGGAGCTGCCCAGGGCTGGAGGGACATGATCCCTGTGGGGTAACACTGCCTGGGAATGGGAGATAGGAGCAAACAGGAGCTGAGAGCCCATGGAGCAACCAGGATGTGTGCAGGATTCTCATCTCCTGGACCGTGTTGGCTTCGCCTGACAAAGAAAAGCATCTGTGGAGCAGATAAATAAAACCAGGCAGTGCCTGGGGCCGCTTCCCAAAGCTGCCATGTGCTCTTCCAAACCAGCTATCATCAGCTCCTTCTCCAGTGATCCGAAATAGCAGGAGGGAAGCCCTTCAGCTGCATCATGAATCATCCCTGGGAGGCAGAGTGGTTATTTTTATGGTTCTGTGGCTCACGTGGAGCTGCCAGTGCATCCCTCAGAGATGGGCTGCGGCAGCGGGACATACTCCTGTCCCTGCTGGGGGCTGCTTCCATGGGGACCAGGAATCCCAAGGGCCCAGCATCCCAGGAGGTTCACTATGAAGGGAATGGGATGGTGAATGTCATCACAGGTTTGCCTTTGCTCAGGGGAAAAGGGAAAAGCTGTGCTGCTGGTGGGGGCTTGGATGGGCACAGGAACAGCCCCGTGGAGCTCAGGATGTTGGTGTGAGTCCTCTCTCCTCTCCCTGAGCCTGATGGCTCCCATGAAAGCCACTCCCTGTGCCAGGGTCTCTCCTCTTTGGGCAGCATTTCAGACCACCATCACCCTCCACCACAGTGGAACTAAACAAGAGAAGGAGGGGTGGATGAGGAGGAGTTGGCATATGCCTGAGCTGGGCACCCTGCAGGAAACCCTGCAGCACCTGTCACCCCAAGGTGACAAACATCGACTCTGTAATGAAGGAAACAGCAGGCAGGGACCAGAGCCCATGCCCACCCACCTGCCATCCCATCCTCCTGCCCTGGCTCTGAGGGGTAGGAGTCCCACGGATCAGAACAATGGGAATGTTCTTCCAGTTTGCCTGGAAAAGCCCCATTTGATGTAGTGACAATGTGACAACAAACACGAGCTCCTCCCTCTCAGACAGAGGGGTCACTCAAGACAAGCTGTGTGTGCCACTGCCCTCCTGGGCACTAGTTCGGGGGTGCCAGGGCCTGGCTGGCCCTGCTGCCCAGCTCTAGAGAGCTGGGAAAGGGGAGGGTGCAGGAAGCTGAGCCATAGGGTTTGGCACCTACACCTGCACACCACGATCCACACGTGTCCGGCTGAAAAAACAACCCAGTGGCAGCACAGTGAGCCAGGGACTGTGCCCAGATGTGGAAACAGAGGCACAAGGATGCAGACAAGAGGCCAGGCTGTGCCACCCAGCACCCACCAGCAGCCCGGCCAGAGCCTGTGCTCCCGTTACCTGCTGGCACAGGAGCAGGGTGAGCTTACACAACATGGTCAGGCTGAAATATTTATCAGGCTGTTGAAAGGCAAACCAGGCAGGAGGCTGGGCAGGAGGGGAGCAAGCACACAAACATGGGGTGGTGGCCATGGCCCCCCTGAGCCCGCTCCAGGCTGCCAGGGGGTCCTTGGGAACTCCAAACATCCCTCCCCGAGTGCCCCCAATGTCCCTCAGTCACAGTGTGGTGCAGAGAGGATTGGGGCACGCAGGGTCAGGGCTGCCAATGGCAGCCAGTGAGCTGGACACAGGGAGCTTGAACTTTGGGCCAGGAATTGGTGCCAGCACGTGCCTTTAGGCAGCACCAAGAGGTGCTGGGGCAAACAGGGGAAGCTGGGAAGTCACAGGGAGCCTGCTGGCGTGGTGGATGCATGGACTGTTTTCACGCTGGCCCCATGCTCTGGCCACACTCTTCCCAGTGCAGGTGCTACAGCCAGGGACCCTCTCCATGCAAATGCTGCCCCAAAACCAGGGGGAAGGCAGGGAGGGGGCCAGGCAGGAGAGCAGCCAAGTGGGGACAGGGGTTGCCAAAAAGAAAAGCAATCCTCATGCAGACCCATCACCACATCCCCCTGCAGCACAACCTCTTTGGAGAAGCAGTGGGGGCAGGATCAGCCCCAGCTCCCACCCCACAAATGGGAGTGTGTGGAGTTGAAGGGGGGAAAAAAAACCCCAAGGACCAAAGCACCTCCTGCAGCCCCAGACATGGATAGACCTGGTCATGCATTTCAAGTTTGAAATGGCAAAAAAACCCCAAAAAATCACGCCAAACCACTTTGTTTCTCAACTAGGGGCCCCACCACTCCTAAAACCCCCAGGCACCTCAGCACAGCCAAAGAGCAGAGTCAGTAGAAACCTTTATTAAACACGAAGCTCAGAGGAACACAAGCTTATTAAATGGCAGTAAAAGTGAAAGTGCGTCTCCAGCCTGGCCCCAGGGGGACCCCAGGACCCCCCTCTCCTCCCCTCCCCTCCCAGTGGCCTGGGGATGGGGAGACAGAGCTGAAAGGCTGAAAGGCTGCACGGGGAGGGGAAGAAAAGCCTGGAGACAGCGTTGGGTCCTTAATCTGCAGAGATGCACTCCCTGGGACACCTCTGTGTCCCCTAAGGGGACAAGCCCATGGTCCCGGGGCCACCAGCCCCATCCAGCCCCATCCCCCCTCCTGCAGCCACTGCCACAGCCGTGGCCTTGCCAGTCTCATTTTGGACACGAGCAAAGCCAGGATGTGCTGGCAAGGCCCCGGTGGCCTCCTGCTCCTTCCTGCCCCCTCCATGTCCTGGGAGAGCTCCCACACGCCATAAATAATAAATAAATACCCCATGCTCAGCCAGGCTATGGGCAGCTCCCCACACAGGGGGGACAGCCCTGACCCAGCACCCCCCACATCTCCACCACCCCCTTCCAACAAAACAAACCCTCTCAGCACCCTCACTCTGCTGTACAGCCCCCCCCAACCCCCATGGAAATGAAACGCTGTCCCCAGGGGACAATAATAAATTAATCAAATCTATACACAGGACTGCTTAAAGCTCTGGAATGGGCTCCTGGGGGGCTGCCCTGGGCAGTTCCCCCGTGACCAGGGCCCTGTGGGAGGGGTCCCCCGAGATGGGAACCCCATCCTGGCATCCCCCCTTGTGGGGCTGGAGCTGGGGATGCCACTGGCCCCCCGCCTGGCTGGGGGGTCTGGAGGGAGAAGAAAATATTGCAAAAAGGGGATGGGAGAGGAGCGGCGGGCGCTGCAGCCAGAGGGGCCGCCTGCCCTGCCCGCCCTGCCAGGGCTGCCCCCCTCGCCTGGCAGCTCCCCCGAGCACCTGGGCAGAGCTTCAGAAGTCCAAGGGGGTGAAGTCCCCAAAGTTGCAGTCGAAGAGCTCGCTGATGCCCTCGCCCTCCTCCAGCCCGAAGTGATAGTCCTGCGCCTGCGGCGGCGACAGGTTGATGAACTCATCCGCCAAGAAACCCGCCAAGTCCTCCCTGCTCTGCTCCAGGAGAATGTCCATGGAGGCCAGAGGTGACAGGCTCACCTCCTCCACCTTGCTGGGCAGTGTGCTTGTCCCTGGCAGCAGCGCTTCTGTGGGGATGGGAAACAGCTGTAAATCCCACAGAAGTTGCCAAATAAACCCCCCAAAAAAACATTTTTTAGGCTATGGAGAACCCAGCTGTTCCCACCTCCCTGCCTTGCTGGGGTGCCCAAGCACCATCCCAGCTCCTTGCTTGTGCTGACAGCTACAAACACAGCCAGAGCCACCGTGACATCACATCAACATCCCTGTCCCCAGCCCCACCTTGCTCTCCGGGAAGCAGTGGCATGTTCACATCCTGGGTGGGATGCAGGAGTGGGGAGGCTCTGGACTGTGAACACCTGGGAGACGAGTCCTCTGTGGAGGCTTTGAAGGGGCTCTTGACAGGGCTGCAGACCCCTGAGCTGTCCTCGGGGCAGAGGAAGACATCGATGGGGCCCTGAGTGCTTCGCATGGAGACCTGGAAAGCCTGGGGGAGAGAGGAGAGGAGTGAGACGAGGAGGTGCAGGGATGCCCAGGGAGCACTGGGCTGTGCAGAGGGGTCAGAGGGTGACCCCAACTCACCTCTGCTGGGTCTGAGACCTGCAGCTGGGTCTCTGGGGGGGCTTTGATAACCATCACCATCTGCTCCGAGGGGTCCACGATGCTGCGGAGATCCTGGCAGGTCACATAGGCTGCGGTGGGGCGGGTCAAGGAGCAAACCCAGGCATCCTTCCCTGCAGGGACCGCAGCCGGCCAGGCTCACCCACATCCCCCCACCCAGCCAGTGCCATCCCATAACCAAAGGATATTGCTGGTTGGCGGGGTCCTCGGTGAGCAGGCGCAGCTGCACCGTGCACATCTGGATGAGCTCATCCAGCTGCCTCTCGGCCGCCTGCAGCTCCCGCAGCTCCTTCTCCAGCAGCCGGTGCCGGCCGGGCGCTCCCACGGTGGCCTGGCTGCCCCTGGGGAGCACCGTGTCCGTCAGGAGCCAGACCCCACAGCTCCCTCTGTCCCCACCCAGGCCAGGCTACATCCCACCCCACACCCAGGGAATCAGCCTCGTCCGGATTTCCCGGTAGGGCACAGCCCTGGGGTCCATTCCCTGAGCCTGGATGCAGCCCCCCTGCTCCCTGGGATGACTTGGGGAGCCCGAGGGGGACTCGCAGTGTTGGTATTCCTGTTTTGCCTGCTCAGGAGCCACCTGCCACTGAGCACAGCCCTTCCACAGGGAGCCACCACTTGACCTGTGAGCAGATGCTCTGGTGACCCTGCTTTGAACTTCTCCACCCCGCTAAGACCCTGCTCTACCCTGAGCCTGGCCCAGACGGCCCTCCCAGCCCAGGGAACAGCCAGACACAGCCCCGTGAGCCCAGCCAAGGGACATACAGCCACTGGATGTGGTTCTTGGATTTCTTGGTGATGAGCTGAATGCCCTCCAGGACATTGGTGATGTCGTAGATGCGCCTCTTCTGCACCTTCAGGACCTCGGCCGCCCAGTTGAGATCCACCACACCATCAGGTGACTGGCTCAGGAGCTCCAGGAAGCGCTTGGTGGTGAGGTTCAGGGAAGTTTCATAGCGGGACTTCTCTCCAGGAGACTTTGCCCCTGCCAGCCAACGAGGACAAGTGTGATTTTAGCCACAAGGCTAGAGCTGAGAGGTCCCAAAAAATCCCCCATGCTTGCAGGTGGCTTGTGCACCAGGGACCAGGACCAGCACCCCAAAACAAATGTGCTTTCTCAGGGCAATGGGGTGAGCTCCCCAAACCCTCCACGGGAAGGATGCTGCAGGACCTGGCACAGGCTCTGACACCTGTGCTCCATCCTGACCACAAACTCAGCTGTGCCAGGCGGGGCTCAGGGGGGAGATAACAGAAGGTCCCCCCGGGACACTGCACCCACCCCGTGTTGGCAGCTACAGCTCCACCCCACAGGGAGGGATGGAGCAGGTGTGGTGCCCAGCAGCTGGGCAGGACAACTATGTCACCAGCCCAGGGGACAGCAGCAGCTGTGGACAGCGGACAGAAAGAGGTCAGCCCCAGGAACAAACTGACATGAAGGAAAAGGAAGAAGCTGCCTGTGGGAGCTGAGTGGGGCTGCAGCACCCCTGCTCTGGGCTGGGCTGTCAAGGGGGGGGTCAGGAGGAGCAGTACCTTTAGCAGGGTTCCTGGCCTTGCCCCGGACCACCGGCAGGCTCTCTGCTATGTACTGGTGATCTGTCTCCAAGTTCAGCTTCCTCTTCACCTGCAAGGGATGGGGCCATCAGAGGGGCAGCGACCATCCCACTGGTCATGGAATGTGACCCGAGGGATCGCCCCAGGGTCACAGAGGCCCGGCAGGAAGGGACTCACAAGAGCAGCTCCGCGGCTGCCACGCATGGGGGGCTGTCCCCGTCGCGGGGGCCCCGCCAGGCTGCGGGGAGCGCCCCAAGGCCGGCGCAGGCCGCGGCGGGGGAGGCAAAGCACGGCCCAGCGCCCGGGCCTGCGGCTTCCGGAGCGGCAGCGGGGCAGGGCCGGCCCGGCAGGTGCTGCGTGGCACGGCCCGGCTGTACGGCAGGGCACGGCCGAGAACGGCCTGGCACGGAGCAGGGCATGACATATGGCACAGCACGGGGCAGAGCAGGCAGCAGCACGGCCCGGCCCGGTTCGGTGTACAGCACGGCTCGCTATACAGCCCAGCTCGGTATCGCACGGCTCGCTATACAGCTCGGCCTGGTAAATAGCCCAGCTCGGTGTACAGCCCGGCTACACAGCACGGTCGGTACCCAGCCGGCTCGAAGCGGCCCAATACAGCCCGGTCCCCGCAGCCCCCGCCCGCCCACCGCCCCCCCCCGTCCCACTCGCGGGGGTTACCGGCGGGCGGCCCAGCGTGGGCCGTCTGGGCGCGGCGCCGGGGCGGGCGGGTTGCGGCGTGGCGAAGAGCAGGAGGTCGGTATCGGGGTGGCCGCCGCCGCCCGCGGGCTCCTCGGCGGCGGCAGCGGCGGAGACGATGAGGAGGTGCGGGGAGGCGCTGCCCAGCAGCGCCGCCAGCCCCGCCGCGCCGCCCGCCGCCGCCATGGCTCACATGGCAGCCGGTGCCGCCGGGGCGGCGGGCGGCGCGGCGGGCAGGGCGCGGGCTGAGGCGCGGCCCATGGCGGGCGCGGGGCCGCTCCGCTCCGGCTCCAGCCCCGGCTGCAATCCCAGCCGCGGCTCCGCTCGGTGCCCGCCGGCTGTCTCGGCGTCCCGGCCCCGCGCGCCTTTGCGCGCCAAATCCTTTTTGCCGCGAAAAGCGGCGCGAGCCGCCCCGCCGCCCGCCCATTGGCTGCGCCCGGCGTGGCGGGGGCGGAGAGGCGCGCTCCCATTGGCTGCGCCCGGCGGGGCGGCGGGCGGTGCCGCGCGCCCATTGGCGGGCGGGGGGCCGCGCTGACAGGCGGCCAATCGGCGACGTCGCGCCGGGGGCGGCGGCCAATGGGAGCGCGGCCCGGGGACGCGGCGGGGGCGCCGCGTGGGTGCGGAGCGGGCGGGGTGGGGTGGGGTGCGGTGGGGGTCGCCTCCCTTGTGTCCCCTTCTTGTGTCCCCTTCTTGTGTCCCATCCTTGTGCTCCCCGTGTCTCCTCTCGCGTCCCCTCTTGCGTGTCTCTCATATGCCCACCCTGTGCCCCTCGTGTGTGTCCCCCTTTTGTCCCCCCATGTGTTCCTGCCATATGCCCACCCTGTGCCCCTCGTGTGTGTCCCCCTTTTGTCCCCCCATGTGTTCCTGCCATGTGCCCACCCTGTGTCCCCCCGCGGATTCCCCGCTCCCAACCGGCCCTGGTCACTCCTGCTTTTCCCAGCCATGGGAAAGCCTCGGGCAGAGCCGCTCCCTCCCGGGCTGACGGGCTTCCGGCTGCGGGCACGGCCGTTCCCCGCTCCGGATGGCCCGGGAGGGCACCGGCACACACCCACAGCGAAGTTCGTACCGCTTGCCCCACCCTCGGGTAGCACTCGTGGCACACAGGGTGGGTTTGGGCTTTGCGGGCTATCCCTTTGCGTCCCCTTTCCCCGGGGGTGACCCCAGCCCATGCATAGATGAGCTCAGTGTTATTCCTCTCCCTCGTTAAAAGCACGACCCCGAGACTCCAGACGAGGCTATCGGAAAGCCTGGAGGCTCTGACCCTGTTCCAGGGGTCCGGCTCGCACGGAAAGCCTGGGATGCCGCAATCTGCTCTGTCCGTTTGCCGGGTGATTCACGGCATTCTGTGTTTCCAAACACCCACCAGCTGTGGATCTCGGCGGCTCCTGCAGCGCTCCTTGATAACCCCTTGCAGGGCAGCGCGGAGGGAAAGCTCTGCTGGGAGCACAGCCCGCACTTGGCCGTGCCGGGAGCGATCCCTGGCCGTGGGACCGCGCGATCGGGGAGGGGCAGGGACAGAGGGGTGGCAGACGGGGCCGGGAGTGGCCCCATATGCTGGGAGGGATGATAGTCCACCCCCAGACAGGCACAGGCGGCTCCCACCGCCGGTATCTGCTGCCTGCAGGACACCGATAACCCCCCACTGCATGAGAAGGCAGAATTAAAAATGAAAAAAAAAAATACATACTGCTATTAAAATAACCTAAAAAGCACTTAAAGATTAGACCTTTTGCAGGGCCCAGAGATGTTGAAGCTCGTGAGGGAAGTGTGGAGTGAGGGGGTCTCAGCCAGGCACCCAAAGCCCCTCTGAGCCGAGCCCAGGGTTTAACCCCTCTGTGCCCCCCAAAAGCTGCCCCACAGGTCCCCAGGGGGCCTCCTGGTGGAGCACAGTGACCCCCAACCCCTTGGTGCTGCCAGGCAGGGCTGTGGGCCAGTGCTGGCTCCCACCCCGGCCCTGCTGCCGACCCTGACCTGCCCTGGATGAGGAGATGGGGTGTTTTTTCCAGCAGTGCGTGGGATGCAGGAGGCATTCCCAGGGCTGAATTAACTCCTGTGCTGCAGAGCAAATCCTGACATGCAGTGCCCCTGCTCCGGCCTAACAGGTTTCTGGCTTCAAAGGATTTTCTGCTGGATACTTTGGCAGTGGCTGTAATTCCCCCGAGGACTGTCAGTGCCGTGATTTCCCCGGATCCCCACATCCTTAAATACACCAGGAACATATTGCATGTCCGTGACCAATCACATCAGCTCGCTGTGCCTCATTTCTTCATCAGCGGAGAGCAAATGGAAACGCTGCCTTGCTTACAGGAAATTAATACAGTTAATTAACACTTGGCCCCTCTAATATTCCAGGGCCCGCTCTCCAGAGCCCTTCCACTGCAGTATCATCATTACCGTGATGCACAAGCAACAGTTAGACCAGATGTTTTGCACACAGTTAATGCTTCTTCCATCTGGGGAGGGGGAGAAAAGGCAGCCCCACCAGCCTGGGGGGAGTGCATGGCTGGCAGCGCTTTCCCCATCCCCGGGGAGCCCCAGCCAGGCGCTTCCTGGGCTGCAGCGGGGTTTGGGACACAGCTGCTGCACCAGCTGCTCCCGCTCTGCTCACAAAGGCTGGGTCCTCCCCTAATTCATGCGGGAGCTTATCCGGGGGGGGCAGCAGCTCTGCCCCCTCTCCCCGGAGCTGCTTGGCTGCGCTGCAACTTCTCCAGGGCTTTCAGTGGCGCGAAAAAGGGCGGCTGTGGAGACAAATGAAAGGCGAACGCTGGCGGGAGAGGGGCGGGCAGGGGCTTTCCTTGCATGTATATGAGGGGAAGCAGATGAATCCCGTCTCCTGCACAGCTGCAGCCTCCCCCCTGCCTCGCCAGCCCTGCTAAGGAGTGCAGACGTGCTCCCGAGATTAGCTGTCTGGCGGGTGCTCCACGCAGATAAAGCCCTGTCTCCACGGTCACACTTGGTCCTGGAGAGGATCAGGAAGGATGTTTGGACAGTTTGTACCACAACAGGATTTACCCCACCACAGTCCCTGAGTTTGGGTGGGTTTGGCTGCCCTGCACAATGGGGTAGACGCAGGTCAAGGGGTGTCTGCTGGTCTCTGCATGGATAGAAAAATGTGGAGCAGGGCTGCAGGTGGAGCCAGAGCTGGTGCCATGGAAAATCATCTCCTGGCAGCAGGAGCAGGCAGGATACAAACCTACATCCCTGTGCTCAGTTAAGTGTAGCATGTGGGTGTCCCAGGAACACATTTACTGTCCTTGTCATCGCAGTTGGTTGGTCCTGTCTTCAGCAGTTCCCACATGGAGTGTGCTGAGCTGTCACATGGAATGATTGCAGTAGGGCTTCTCCCAGGGTCTCCTGCCAATGCTCCTGTTCCCAGTGCTTTGATTTGTTCCCATGAGGGTGCAGCTCGCAGTGCAAGAGGCCCTGGAGACCTCACTGCAGAGGGGACAGACAGCTGGGGAAAGCCCAGAGCCCCCCAGTTCTGTCCTGACCTCACCCCCTCACCTGTTCTTGCTCCACCCTCCACCACCTGAGCCACTGCCTTTGTCCTACAGGAACCAAAGCGATTTTCTGGTAGCACAAATTACCTAGAGTATCTAAGCTTGCTTGTGGCAGAAGGACAGCATCCCTGGCTTAGGTGTCTCCTCCTAGAGCCCAGTCCCAAGAGCCAGGAACTGCCTATTCCCTTGCATTGTTTACAGATGATTATGCCAGCTACTCTCTTGGATGCTGGGCACAACAGACTCAGCAGTGTTAGTTCCTCCTCTCATAGGATGGCATCTGTTATCAGAGCTCACACCAATCCATGGAGTCTTTCAGTGGAAGCAACAGGGGCACAGAGCTCATTCACCCCCCACTCTGCTCTTCATGCCCAAACAGGACAATTTTGTCCCAGCCTCTGTGAGGCAGAGAAGTACAAACACACACTTCCCAGCCTCATGGCTAAAAGCCACTCCATTCCACAGGGCTCTTCCATTTCCTTCACTCAAGCCTTGTGGAGGAATGGAGAGGCTGAAGTGCTTCTTGGGAGTCATCAAGGAGTAATTTGGGAATATACCCCTTGATGTTGCCTTCTGTGCTTCAGCTTCTACTCAGCTCTAGTGACAAAGCAGCCCAAGTTCCCTTCCCAGAAGGCTCAGAGCATGGTCACTGGAAGTGGGAACCCAAAAAGCAGGTGAAGAGTCAGAGCAAAACCTGTAGGTGACTCAGAGCTTCACCTGGAGCAGAAGAGGAGCTCAGACACAGTATGATGCTTTGTGAGGAGGTAAAAAAATCACTTCAAGGCAGGACTGGCACCAATTTGAGGGTGTTAATTTGGCTTCTCACAGGCACAGGCTGGACACTCCAGTATCCCAGCAGCTACAAAGCAGGAGCTTTTGTCTTACAGACACTCAGTGCTCCCCTGGCAAGAGGGACCTCCTTCCCCTGCCTGTGCCATCTGTAGGGAGCTCCTCACACAGGGATTGCTTCACCCCCACTCCCATAGCAGTTACCTTTACAGCTTGGAAGAAGCAGTGAGATCACCCACATACATCCTTATTTTCCATATTTGTGTATGTCCCTATTTTATCTGAGGGGCAGACCAGGTACAACCTCGTGCCCAGTGCCCTGTACCTGTGCCCTGCTCTGGCAGAGGGTCCTGCCCCAGGCTCCTGCCCCAAAGAGGAGTGTTTGGTAAGGGATGACAGCCACCCCAATTTGTTCCTGCAGTTGGCATCCTTATCCCAGCCAGCATTGCAGGAGGTAAATCTGAATGTGTGGTCAATGCTGGTAACACAGGAGCAAAAGTGATGCCAAAAATGCACCTCATGCATTGCTCTTCTACATACAGGACCAGAGACACGCAATAATCAAGCATCACTTCATATATTTTAGCTTAATAATGATGACAGTAAAAAACCCACAAAAAATTAGGGTTTTTTATTTTTATAGAAAGCATGGTATTGTAATATTCAAAGAGTGATTATACAGATAAAATCCACATAAGAAATCAATTCAGAGTAGACAGAGCTACATCAACAACCCACTGCCCCCTCTTTTGCATGTTTTGAAACCAAAAACTGAGATATTCCTACAAGCATTTTGATCAGTGTCATACAAGTTACCTGAGTTTATAACTTTATTCTACACCATCAGAAAATCAGGGCTTGGATTACACAGCAATTATGAGTACAAATTATACACCAAAAAGAGAGGTAATAATACTTGTATTAGAGAGCTTTTAATTTGCTTTTCTCCTTTCCTCATCACCAGGGACAGATGAAAATTCTTCGAAGTAAAGAAAAAAGTTACCTCCTCCAGCAATCTGGTATGAACACACACACAGGTTGACAATTCAAGATTAGCACCCCTGAAATATTAACAGTGGCAGACAGACATTATGCCTTATTTTCCCTCCCCCTCCTTATCTGCTGGATTTCAAAAGCAGCATCAGAAAACACATTCTGCTCAGGTTGGCAGGAGCCAGGAACACAAACACAACCTGAGCAATAGGAAGCAGCACACGGCTCGGGGTATTATCCAAAGGTCACATTTGTGCTGATGCAGTGAAAATCAGCTGGAATCCCAGGAGTTTCTCCTGTGTGAGGGTATCTCCACAGGGTTCTGGTCACTCCACAAGCTCAGTGTGCACAGGGGGTCATGGGGGTCCCCATGGATGCCTGGCTTGGATCTCTTTAACAAGCCAGGGATCATCCCTGCATTTCCACCCACACCCAACCTGGTCTAAAGCAGAGCTTTGATCTATTCTACCAGGGCAAGGAAGTCTCACAGCACTGACATCAAAGCTCTTCTGCAGCCTCTCCACCCTGACCAGGTTGCCAACAGAAGCTGTGGCTGCCCCATCCCTGGAAGTGTCCAAGGCCAGGTTGGACAGGGCTTGGAGCAACTTGGGCTAGTGGAAGGTGTCCCTGCCCATGGCAGGCAGTTGGAGTAGATATTTAATGTCCCTTCCAACCCAAACCATTCCATGATTCTATGATACCTGTCCTGAACATGGACATTTATCTGGTTATTGTTGTCATGCTACAAACACAGGCTCACACCTTTTCAAGAGCTTCTCTGTGGCACTTATTGGACAAGCACAGGTTTTCCTTTCAGAAATGCACTCCCCTTAGCTGACAGGATCAAACACAGCACAGAAAACCTTAGCTAACCCAAATGTCAGGCACCCATTTAATTTTCACCTTTGTTAAATAATGTAATTGTCCCGGAAACGGTTCTCCAGCCATCCTGAGAGCCAGCACCAGTACACAAGGTGTCCTCCAAAGGGAAGGGAAGCACAGTGGGTATGCCAGGGCAGCAGGCAGCATCAGTAAACAACCCTGAGCCTGCTTTGTTCCTCCATAAAATAAATGATTAATAGCTCAGGATAGTCAGCCTGCTTGAGAAGCTCAGGCTTGCTGAAAACTTTTGATCAGTTTGATTCATTAACCTTTAAAACTGCCTCTAAAAGAGGCTTAAAATCTGAAGAAGTATCATTTTAAACATTACTTTTATCCAGTAATCCTAATTTTTTATGAACTGAGCTAAGATTGAGACACTTTGCTCCTCTTTAGAGACACTCAGCATAAGCCAGGTGTCAAAGAAGAAATAACAGGAGAAAATAAACTGGTGTAGACAAACAAACCCATGTTCATCTTAAAATTCAAAAACAGTCAGGGCTGGGGGGGGGGAGGGAGAAAATGGCACTTCTTTGTGATCCTTAAGCACTTGGCTGATTCGCAGGTGGCTTCCCAACTGTCTCTTTATTTCTTCTAGTTTTAATGCTAATAAAAAAAGGAACCCAAACAGGGGGCTCAACTCCCCACACAATGGCCGGGGGGAGGGCAGGGAGTGTAACTTACGTATCCCAAAAGTCTGACTCAGACAAATTACTTCTAGTTCACTTCCCTACTACACGCCCGCATTGTTCCGACACCTTGGCGGCAGAAGGGGCTCATCCCCAGCTATCTGGTCCCAGGGACAGCACTGGGGGCTGATGTCATTAAGGAGCTGTTCCAATTACTTCCCTGGGGAAAGCAGTGACTTGCAGCTTAACGTCCTGCCCCCGGCGCAGCGGGAACGCCAGCGGGAACACCAACGGTCCCAACGCCCGGCTGGGCAGGCAGGGACCAGCCGCGGCTCCCAGGGATGGCAGCTGCTTCCTGGGGCTCCAGTGCAGATGGCTGGAGGCTCGGGCACAGTGTGCTCGCAAAGTGAGACTGGGGGGACATTCCCAGGAGAAAAAGGGTGTTTCTTTGAACCGGTGACACAGTGGCTGCTGCCAGGTTGATCCTATAAACTGGGTATTGGCTTGGATTCATCTTCCAGAGAGTGCAGACTCTACGTCTGGGTACAAAGGACAGGCCACTTGTCCTTCAGAACTTCAGCAGCAGCCACTCGGTTGCAGTGGTACAACTACTAGCAAAAGGAAATCATTTCGCCTCTAAGGGAATCACAAGCCTTTCTCAGAGGAAGAAAACACCAGCTACAAATTAAACAAGATTAAAAACTCCTCACAGAACCAGCCCCGTGCCATCTTTGGCTGCAACAATTACACACGGTCAAGGATTTGTGAGTCTAATAGTTTTAGGGAGAAATTCCCAAGCCACAGCTGTCAGGTTGTGGAAGGGTTTTCTGAAATCCCATCAAAGCTCGGAGGAATTCAGCAATATTAGCAGAATACAAATGTTCTCATTTGGAACAACACTGAGGCTTCTGACAGCAAAATCGTGATGCTTCAGCTACCCAGCAAATAAAGATGTTTATAAAGGAATCAGACCTGATCTGTAGCTTCAGTAGTTTTTCTGTATCTGAATCTTTAAGCTTATTTATGCCAAGAAAAATATTTAACCACAAAGAAACAAACCCAATTCCTGACTTTTATAACTTTCCTGGGGTCTGATTAAATGCTGATTAATGTTCCAATTGAAGTATTTAGTCCAGACTGTAATAGCAGGTGAAACTAGGAGTTAAAGGTACCTCAGACAGTTACTATTGCAAAGAAGTATCTTGTTTTTTGGACACCGTGTACAATCAGGGGTTTGCATGGCACGAGCTCAAAGAAAAGTGGGAAGACAAAGAATAAAGCAGCACTCTGAATATGCATAAGAGTAACAAAAGAGTTTAGGAGGACAAGGAAAAATCACTTAAGAAGAAATTGGGAATTTTTTTCTACTCAGAAGCCACCTGAAGTTCAATGTACTGTTTCAGTTGTACCTTTGCATAGGACAAATTGCCAGAGCCTGGAAGGTAAAGAGTTCAAAACATGATGAAAACAGCATCAGCACGATTATGCAACAACATGAGCAGCTCAGGAACAAGCAAATGGACACAGGGAGAGCAAACAAAACAGTCCCAGCCAAGCCAAAAGGGAACAGGGAACTTAATGACTCTCTTGGAAACTTCACCACATCAAACCAGCGCGTCAGGAATTATCTGAATGCACATCATCGAGTGAACCGTGTAGTGTCATATGGCAGTGTATTAACAGCTTGAATTTATTAATTTTAAAGCAGTTTTTGCGCTTTCTCAGTTGTTTAGTCAATCTTCTGCTACAGCCCAGGGTGTGCTGCACCATCCTGGGGCTCAGCAGTTTTAAGAGTCACTCATATATTCATCCATGGCCCAGCAGCAAACCTGCACAAACTACAGGTACATTCCAATTTGATTACAGCCAACCCCTGCCACTCCTGTGCAGGGCAGATCCTGGCCCCAAGAGAAACCCATGTGTGCCTTCCCCCAAAATAAAAGTGCCTGTTCAAAGCTCAGTGTGAGATCTGAGGGCGGGAACACGCCCCGGCCTGTTTGCAGAGGAGCCCAAGTTGCATAACTGATTTCGGTATTTAGTCCAAGCAGCTTTTAAAAACTTTACAAGTAAGTTTAAAATAATTACAGGGTATTAATTAGTGCACTTTGCAGAGGCACAGATTCAGCCCAAGTGCATGGGAGAAACTGAGCAAAAATAGTCCTGCCAAGCATGATTTACCAGGCTTGTACAAGACAATCTTAACAGTTTTATTCTGAAATATTTTATTGTCTCCCAGAGGGAAAGGTCCAGATAAACTCTCTCAAGGAGCACACAACTTGTAATGTGTCCTTGTAACAGTTTAAGCAGGATTTCCAGCCATCCACAGCAATGAAAAAATAACATCCCTGCTTTCATGATGTCCCCCACTCTCACCACACCACGGTGAGCACAGCAGCACAGAGAAAAAACACTTGTTCAGGTGAGCCCTAGAACGTGTTTTCATACTCTCCACTTACTGTCAGGCTGTCTCTTTATAAGTTATATTTAGTTTCTTAAAAAACAATACCCAGAAAACCCCAAACCCAAACACAGAGGGAAAAAAAGGCCTTTAAAAAAGACTGCAGCAGGTTTCTGTGGGGTGTGCGTTTCTGCAGACAGTTTCTGTGGGGTGTTTACTTGCTCTAAACAGAGCCAAAAGACTAATCAGAACATTTTGGCCGGGATACAAGAGGCAACTCTGCTTGATAGATGTTAATTTAAAAAAATCCCAGGTCAAGAGCAACAGAATAACCTTTTCCCCTCAGCTGCCCAGAGGTCCCATCCCATCCAAAGGTGCTTTGCAGGGAAGCACCTACTTGCTGTCTGTCCTTTTGTTGTAAAGGAGGAAGTCAGACAGGTCGTGCCACACCTCACTGTCCTCGTACAGGTAGGTCATGGAGGACTGCAGGGAGGGCTGCAGAGTCTCTCTGTGGTACTCAAAGAGCCACAGCACTGTCCCCCACACCAGGGCAGCCACAAGGGGGAAGGGATCCTGCCTGGGCTGTGGGATGTAGCCCTTCTCCACAGCCAGCCGGGACAGGCCGAACAGGATCCGGGACAGCAGGTACATGATGATCTGCAGGGGAGAAACCCAGAGAGCTTTGGGTGAGCAACCTGAGCTCACACAGCAGCCGGGTTAAGCTGAGCTCACACAGCAGCCAGGCTGAGATTCAGAAGCCATAATCCACCCGAGAGGGGTGGGAACGATTCACCCGACTTAAAAGCAAACAGGCTGTGGTTCACACCCCAACAGTCTGTAAAACCACAAGTGTTTGTTGTCTCCTCTGCATCCTCAAAGTCCTGCTTCTCTGCTGCTGCTCTAATTTAGCAATCGACAAGTCAAACTTAACGCAACACATCTTCGCAGTTGCACAAATTTTTCTTTGCTCAGTTAATGCCACCTCGGAATAGACCCAGAGCAGCTCTGTTCACCTGCCAAGCAGATCTGAACTCAGGAGCCTGGACACAGCCTAAAACCAGGCTCAAGAACACTCTGGACTAATCTGCATCTCTGTGTTTTACTCATTAATCTGTGACTGTGTGTTAAGAACCAGCTTTAACTCCAATGTCCCCTGAGCAGCTTTTGTCAGTGTAACCTGTTTAGCTGTCCCAGAATATTCTGAGTTGGAAGGGACCCACAAGGATCATCAAAGTCCAACTCCTTGTCAGTTTAACCAGTTCAGTTTATCAGTTTAACCAGTTTAGATCAGTGCAGCTCAGTAACTGATCATGTTCCACACTCACAACACTCAGATTCAAGGGTTTAACCCTGCAATGGGCAGACCAGGAGCAGAGTCAGTGACCACAGATCAGGCAACAGCTGGGATAACCCAAAAGCTTTGGATCACCTGCCTGCCTCCCTAGGAATTCAGTGCAGCTCTGAAGGTAAACATGAGCTTTTAGCACTCCAACTGCTCATGGAAGGACACAACCACCTCTGGGACTGGAGTGCAGAGCAGGCAAAACAAGAATCTGTGCAAAGAACATGATAAAAGAGTAATTGCTGCACAGTCAGAACCGCCTGGAACAAGCCACCAACCACTTCCTGGCACACTTGCTGTTTTTCCTGGTCAAAGAAACTTCCAGCGAGTGCATTTACCTGGCTGTTGATGGGATTGTTCTCACCAAACACCAGCCAGCCCCCAATGCAGGCTGCAAGGAAAGCATGGAATGGGATTTTCTTCCCCTGCAGGCGGGACTGTGCTGCCATGAGCCCCTTGTAGGTGAAGACAAAGTAGGCCAAGTTCCGGGAGTGGGCGTAGGTGGCCTGAGCAATCGCCTTCAGCTTCTCCCTCAAACTGAAGAAAAGGAACAGACAATTAGGAGAGGGAAAAGGCACGACCCCTGCACTCAACTCAGCCTGGTCACTACACCCCTCACCTACACTGACAGCTTGGGCATCCCGCGGAATATCTTGTGAGGGAGGAGAAATCCCCTCACCTCTGATCCCCCCATCAGAGCACGGACTGCAGACTGTACCTCTGTCTCATTCTCTGAACAGTCAAACAGTCCTTTTTTTAAAATTTTTGCCTAAATGTAAACCTCTGGCATGAGCAGAGAAAGCCACAATGTGCTCTGCTCTACTCTAGGTTCCCATATTTCCATGGGGAGCAGAGCACTGCTGTTGGCATCTTCTAATTCCTCCCCTATCCACTGGCTCTCACCAACCACCCTATGAGTAGTTAACTCCCCCCAACTCTGTATATTTGTGTGTGCTTCACTAATAGAGCAGGCTCAACCACGGCTCACGTACCTTTCTTCTTTTTAAAACCCCTGGAAACATGAAAAAGAGACAGCTGGAGTGAAAACATTCTAAGTAGTGACGTAAAAAATGCAAGAATTAGGGCTTGTACCTTCCGCTCTTGAACAGGAAAGTCATCACCAGGGCATGAGGGGCACGGATTTTGGCTCCATAGCTGCAAGAGCAGACAGACACTTCAGAGTTTTTGCATGATACTACGAAATAATTGTGTTGCTATTCTGACAGATTAAAGACGTTATTTAACAAATATATATTACTTTCAAGCCGACCCAGCAGCAGCAGCACAACAAACCGGGAGGAGCCCAGCCCCAGGGGGAAGAGCTCACACACACAGCGAGCCAGGCCCAAAGGAGACCCCAAAACCAGTTAAAACCACCCCGACGGCAGCTGAGAGAGGCGGAACCACCTCCGCCGTACCCCCTCCCCCCCGCCACCGCATCCCCGGCCTCCGCACAGCCCGGGGTGGGCCGATACCCCAGGCACCCCAGGGGCCCAGCACTCACACGGCGCCGTTGCGGAAGCCCTTGATGACAGCGAGCGCGGCATGGTAGCGGCGCTGCTGCAGGAGCTTGTTGGCGGCGCGGAGCAGAGCGCGCAGCGAACCCTCCCCGCCCGCCATGGCCCCGCCGGCCATGGCACCCCCGCCACCTGCCGCTTCCGGGGCCCGCGCCCCGCCCGCCACGCCCATAGGCTGCTCCGCCTGTCCATCACCGCGGATGGCGCCATCTCAACCGCTCATTGGCGCGGAGCACCCGCCCGGTAGCCAATGGGCGCCGCGCACTGTGTCCCGCCCACCCCTCTCCCTGTGGTTGCCGCTGAGGGCCCGGCCCGGCATCACCCGGTTATGGCGCGGGGGGCGCGGCGGGAGCCTGAGCGGGGCGGGGGCAGCCGCGGCGCGGTGCCTGCCCAGTCTCCGCGGGCTGTAGCGGCGGCACCGAGTTAAACGCTCCTCCCTCCCCAAAACCAGCGCCGGGGCCGCCTCCGCCCCTCCCGCGCTGAGGGCGCGTTGCGGGCGGAGGGCGCCCCCTGGCGGCGCGGCCGCTCCCGCCGCCGCTCCAAGATGGCGCAGGCGATCTTCGAGGCGCTGGAAGGTAACGGGGCCGCGCCGGGGCCGCGCCGGCACCCGCGGGCTGCGACCCCCGCGCCCCCCGAGCTCCCGCTGCCCGGCGCTGCCGCCGCGAGGGGCGGGGGGCCGCGGCGGGGCAGCCCCGCCAGGCCCGGCCCGGCCCGGCGCGGCGTGGGGCGCTCCCGGCAGCCCCGGGCTGTGCCCCCGCGCTCCCCGCGGCGGGGACGGCGCCGCAGCCCCCGCCCGCAGCCCCCGCCGCAGCCCGGGCATCCCTGTGCCCGGCTCCCTGCGGTGTCCCTGCCACCTCCGGACCCCCGGCCCGGTGCCACCTCCTGCCTATGCGCCGGGACATGCCCGCACTGCCCATCCCTGTGCCCTGTGCTCCGGGTAGCCCTCGTTGGCCACGGACGCTGTGCACCACAGCCCCTCCCTGCCCCAGGGCCCGATACCGCGAGGCACACCATCCCATCCCATCCCTGTCCCTGTGCCCGATGCCCCAATGCACCCCTTGCCCTCCCTGCCCCTCTGCCCTGCACATCGGGGCACTCCCACCACCCTCCTCTCTGTGCCCAGGAAACAGGATCCCCAATCCCCAGGGCACCGTGTGACTCGTGTGCCTCTCCCCCTTCCGTTGCCCTCTGTCCCTGTGCCCAGCATGCCGGGGTCCCCCATCCTCCCCTCAGCCCAGGGCTCACACTGCTGTGCCACGCTCCCTGCCAGCCCCAGGGATGGTGCCCAGGGAGTGATGGCCCCTGCATGTGTATTTTGGAGGTGTCTGTGCCCTCTGCACAGCCCAGACAGCGCCCATTGTGTGGGTGAATGGGTTGTGCTCAAATTCATCTCAGTTTGGCCGGGACACTGTCACAGGCAGGTGCCATCCCAGGGGGACTCCTGGACGTGTCAAGCTGTGCCAGTCTGAGCCTGTTTGGGGAAAAACTATTTCCCAGGCGTTGATTTCTTAATCTGGATTACAGATGTATTTTCCCTTATGTGGGGGCACAGCTGACATGGAAGGCCTGGCATCATGATTGTCACCCATGCTTTCAAACATCCCCTGTGGTTGCAGCAGCAGGGAGAGGAGCAGAGAAGAAATATTTCTCTGTTTTGTGAGGTTACTTGGTGCATTTGGCAGCACCCTGTGCAGAATCAGGTCCCTGTTTCCTCACTGCAATCAGCTCCTCGTGGTGTGAATTTCCTCACAGAATTCAGGAGAGCAAAACCTTTTAGCAAATTTTAGCAGCTTTTGGTGTCTGAGCTTGTTTGTTTTCTCTTGTTGATGTGATTACAAGTAGATGGTGACTTGGCATTTGTGTGGATGCTGAGAGCAGGCTGTGGGGCACAGGGGCATCTTCACCTGTCACCAAAGCACCTGGTGCTGGTGTCAGCAGAGAAGGGTCAATGCATGATGGAAAAGTAGCACCTGGGTGAAATGGACACTCTTGTTTCACCTCGAGCTGAGAGGAATTTGAAAGAGAAAAAAAAAAGCACAAATCAGTAGTCCTGTACTTTTATCCTAGCTTCCCCAAATCACCCTGCTGTTGTCAGGCTCTGGGCACCTCAGCTCCTGCTGTGCCAGGAGAGAAGTGGCTGGGTTTTTTAAGTTTCATGATGCATACTGGTGCTGGCTGCAGGCAGGGCAGGCTCCATCCAAAGGTTTCTCCTGGAAGTCTGTGGGTGGTTGAGAACAGCATCTGCTTAACCAAGTAACTGCCAGCTTGTGTTCGTGGGTTACTAACCTTGACCTCAGGGGTTTCCCTCTAGGAAGTGTGGTGTTGTGCAGTTACTCTGGGGGCATTTGCCTGAATTGCCAAATAAATGAGGGCAGCATATTTCTCTTGTCCTGGGCCTCTTTTCCCCATCAAGAGGCTGAGTGCAGCATTGACAATCTTGCTGCATCATTGTCTTCAGGTCTTGGCCTCTCCTCAAGCTTCTTCCTCTTAAGAGGATCAAGTCTTTTGGCTTTTTTCTTTGGAAGATCTGACTGTGTGCCAGAGAGAAACCCAGTTGTCCAGTGCCAGGCCCATCAAGAGTGGCACCCTTGGCACAAACTTCTTAATTATCCCCATTATCCCCATTTTATACTTAAGCTGAGTTTTCGATCCTTCTTTTCCTTTTAGCTTATTTCTGCTGGAGAAGGGCTGCTCCATTTCACTCTCTGGTGTGGCTGTTGCAGCAGGAGCCTGCAGTGCTGCCCTGGCAGTTGCCCAGGGGTTATTAGAGGAGATGTATTGTGGAGCAAGGCTTGGGATCCTCCAGGAGCATTCCAGCGGTGTTCTCCCAGCGGGGCTGACCTGCAGGGCTGGCTCCAGCTCTCCAGGCAAGCCAAGGCTTGCAGAACTGGACCTGCAGCTTTGCTGTGCCTCCCTGTGATTTATGTGAAAGGCTTCCCATAGGCATGGTGGGAATTTTGTGGTAGTGTGAGATGTAGTGCTCTGCTCCCTGCCAGGAACATCAGCAGTGTTTGCGACCTCTCCTCAGTGAAACGATGGAAAAGGTGTTCACAGAGTCTCAGTTACTTGCTTCACACTGGAGATGCCAGAGAAACAAGTTTTTAGGGTATCTTTAACAGGCTGTAGATTATATGGGCACTCCCCATCAAGAAGGTAACATCCCAGTTGTTCAGGAGAAATTTTAGAATTACGAGAGGAACTTGGAGTGGTGGGTTCTCCTGCTGTGCTGGTCCCTTGTGCTGGGCTCTGCTACATTGTTCCACTGTCCTTCCTGGTGCTGTTCTCTTCTCAGGAACAGTCCTCACCTCAGGAATGGCCTGCACCTCCCTGCTTGGGAATAATCAGAGCAACAGAATTGCTTTTACTGGGGCACATAGTTCTGAGCTCAGAGCTTTGCAGTTTTAGTTTGCAAAGAACATGAAGAAAAATGAAAAGCAACTGAAGAACCCCCCACTTGTCTTCTCTCCCTTAATCCACAAGGTATCACATACAACCCTGCCATGCCATTTGTTTTATTTGTGGGTTCCTTGTCATAAAGGAATGGCAGGGAGGAGTGGAGCATAAAAATCCCCAAATCAGATTGTCCTTTACATCTGATTTCTATAAAGAAAGAGTGTCTCAGGCTTAATCCACTGGTCACATGCTGCTGGCCAGGTTGTCTCCCCAGATGAGCAGTCCCCATCTCCTGTATTTATCTGTAATATTTTAGAACATTTTATCTGTAGTGAAAAATGTTTGTGCCAAAGTGAGTAAGCTGATTCTGACAACAGATCTGACCGGGGGTGTGTGCCCTGGGTCTGGTCAGATCCGGGAATGCTGGCTTTGAAAACAGGGAGGCATTTCTAGCACTGCTGCTGAGGGAGTTGCTGCACACAAGGATTTTGTCTGTGCTGTATCACGCTGTGTCCCCAGGCAGATCCACCCAGACTGCTGCTCTGTGACATCCCAATACCTGCTTTTTAGCTTTGGTTGTAAACATCCTTCCTCTCTGCAGCAAACCAAGCCCTCTTTTGGCTTTTCTTGCCCTTCTTCCCTTTTCTTCCTGTGCCAAAGGAGTTATGGAGACAGGTGGGAGTGTTGCTGTGGTGTGATAGTTGATGCTGTGGGTAGAGGGTGAGAAGGTGAGAGTGGCTCTGTGGGAGGAGAGAGCAGCAGCTGCAGAGTTGCTTCCCTCCATGACCTGGGAGCAAGCTTCCAGTGCCCAAGCACTCCATGTTTGGCTGTGTTCAATTCACCATCCGTGTTTGTGTCTCCTTTCAGGAATGGATAATCAGACAGTGCTGGCTGTGCAGTCCTTACTGGATGGTCAAGGAGGTGTGACGGATCCATCGGCTCAAAATGTCAACTCCTCCAGTGCCATCCAGCCCATGGGTGAGTCCTGGTGGCACTGGGAGAGAGAGGAGAGGGGTGGGAGTGCTGCACATCCCAGAACAGCTGGATGTGTAGGGGCTGCTACAAGTGTTGGAAGCCCTCAGCAGGACCAGAGCAAGAGGAAGGGGCAAGTGCCTGAGAGAGCTTTTGGAGATGGTCATGACAACAGACTTGACCATGTGCTTCCAATAAAGTCACAAAGGGAGGGAGAAGCCACTGTCTCCACCACTACTTGTTACTGTTCACATTTTTTATTTAATTAGCCATTCCTTATCCCCTGGGGATACTCCAGCCCTTGAGTATCTCATCTGTGTGAGTGAGTATGGGAACTGGTCATTTATGTGCACATGGGTACTCACAGTGCTTGACTAGGACTCGCTGGGTGGACACCAAGTTATCCTCCAGAGGATTTACAGTCTGTGTCCCCAGAAACGTTCTGCTTCAGGCTGTGAATCAGGAGAAACAGCCTTGTGAGTCCAACTGGATCGTTTACAAGTGGTGTGTGCTTTGCTAACGCTGCAGATTTCAGCTAGGACGTGTAACTGGGTTGTCTTCTTTCTGCTTTGGGTGTCAAGCAGAGGTGCCAAAAACCATCAGTCTCGTGGAAGGGTGGCTTTAGGACACAAGCTGACAGTGACTCTGTGCCTGATCCAAGTTACTTCTCTTCCTTTGTGCAACCTGAGTAATAAAATCTGCCTCAGCCAGCAGAATGTTGGTGCTTTGGAAGAAGCTGCTTTGACTAAAAAGCAGAGGGTGCTTCAG